ATGATAGCTGTCAAACCACCTGAAACTGGAGCTGGCCACTCCTGCCAGAGAGCTTATCACCAAGGTTCAAGCCAGGCTTTTTTCCAAAAATGATTTTAATTCCAACATCCCTCCTAATGGCTTACTGTAGACTAATTTAGCCAGGAGTTGTTATGCTAAAAATGGAAGCTAATGATTTCAGCAAAAAGTAACTAAGCTGGTACCAACAGAGTATATTGTAAGAAACATTATCACGGGTGCCCGTCTTCCACTTCCCTGTAGAAAGGCTTAATAAGGTTCCCACAGCAAATGCACACGGACTCCCTCCTCTCCTGAGAGCCTAGACTGTGAATGTGGTCTCTGGAGGCAGCAACTCCCCGGAGCCCTTCTAAGGCTCATCTCACGCTGGGAGCCGTGCTTCCAATGAAGAGTGCCCGCCCACTGCTGTTGCTTGTCATGACTGCCTTTCAGCGAACATCGAGAGCATCAGCTTCCTCCTCTTTGAGTGCCCGCCAGTACACACCGGTACCCACCAGTACCCACCACTCGGCTCAGCGCCTTACAGCTTGGCGCACTTTATACTTTCCTAAATACAGACATTGTAAAAAGAAGCATGCTTTCAAGGCAAAGATCCGGTATCAGTCATAACACACAACTGTCCAACCGGAACAAATCTAGCAAAAAAATAATCAAGTTTTCAGGTGCCACAGTTTGAATTAACCAAGAATGTTAGAAAGTAAGCACACACAGTTTCAATATCACTGTTGTTGTTCAGTCATTAAGTTGTGTCTGACGCTGCGACCCCATGAACTGCAGCATGCCAGGCTTCCCTGTCCTTCCCCACCCCTCAGAGTTTGCTCAAACTCATGTCCATTGTGACATAATTAAATATTTCAGCTGGCAATGATTGAAGCAGAATTCAGGTTTCTTGAGCCACCTGATGTTCAGATTGAATTCATTTGATGTATGTATCCTTGAAACCTTATGATGCTAACTTCTACTAATATAAAAAGAAATTTGAGTGTTGCAGAAAGCCACCTGAGCTGGGAAAAGTTACTAATGGTGATTTTTACAATGGAATCTCAATCGTTAGGCGATTAGAACAAAATTCCTAGGAATGATATCTACAAAGTCCAGGGCACAACCTTGATGAAAGGACTTTAATTGTATAGTTTTTAGAAATAATGAAAGAAATGGCTAGCTTTTGTCTTCCTCTGAGGATTCCCTTATTAAGACAGAAACTGCAGGATCCTAATTTAGGACACTAGTTTTAGGGTGAACTCAGAATTTTCTTTTTCCAGCTCGTGACATCTCGGTGAGTTTCCCATTTCCACCCAATGTTGGGAAGCATGTTCATGGGCCATCTTCAGGATCCTGACAGCAGGGGTTTCGCGGGCCAATTTAAGAGCTTAGAGATGCAATACCGAGGATGCAGGCAAGGGCTCTGGGCTTACACACGGGCGCGCGCCTGCAGGCACACAGGTGTTAGTTCCTTCTTACGGCTGCCAGCTTTAAACTCTGCCCTCTGGCTAACAGAAGGGGGCTCCTTACCCCGTAATCCCCTCCTGCCTCCCCTCCCACAGGCCCCAACCCCGGAGTGGAGGAGAGAACACAGCAGAGTTCCTAGGATCACAGACCCACGAGTACTACATTCTGGGACGGGGGCCCGTCCTACTGCTGTGCCTGCTCAGTGGTGTGGACCCACCCTCACGGTGCAGTACTTATTTTGGATAAACACAGTGGCGTGAGGTTGAGAAAACGACCTCTCTTCTTGCATACCTTAGGGTTGCTTGAATTAAATACCCAATTTATGAGAACAGATTAGCCAAGGGAAAAAAAAACGCAGTGACTTTACTAGGAGACTCATCCCACCAACTCAGTGTATCTTCCCCGAAAAGAAGAAGAAAATGAAATATCTGTTACTATGTAAATGTCCTAACATAAATTTAGTATTGTTAATATAATGTACCTTCTGATAGGCCAGTTTGGACAATTTGGAACTGAAAATCCACTGACTCCTCATATAGCTACATAATCATCATTGTCTAAATAATTTCAGCCATAAAAGGAAAAATGTGACAGAACCCTGGAGAAATGTCACCTTCTGCTTAGGGGATTACTTGAGCCGGGGATGTGTACGCTGAGATACTACCAGGGAAAGTCATGGGTTTTTACCACTCAGCATAAACTAGCCACGGATGTACATTTAAAGGGATTTTAACAATGAGTTCCATTTCTCCTGATACAAAACAAATTTTCTTTGGGTACAAAATTTTCTTTTAATCTTAAAAAGGTCAGTTGTTCCAGAATGCATATTCTATAGAAGAGTTCCTTCCTCTTGTGCTAAATAGACAGGGTTCTGAGCCTTATAATAACCCTGGCAAGCTAAACTGCCTCATCATCACAACTTCTGTAAGTTTGCCGTATAAGGTGATTCATCACTTAAAGCCAGGTCTAGACACAAGCGCAGCTTAAAGAAAGTGCCAGCAGTACACTGCTAATTACCAGGGCAAACATTTGTATTTCAAAGTTGACAAATTAGGGTAACAATTTCCAAAGACCATTACTTCTAAAAAGAGTGACTGTTGGTTTCATCCTACCAAACACTCTACCTTCAGGTATGGGCCCCTACCCATCTTTAGTTAGTAACAGTTGAAGGTAACACTTCTTAGAACAACAAATGCCATGGGCATTGATCCTCATAATTAAATCCCCCTTTGCCCTCTTTGCTTCCCTGGGGGCCCAGATAGCAAAGAATCTGCCTGCAATGCAGAAGACCCAGGTTCAGTCCCTGGGTCAGGAAGATCCCCCAGAGTAGGGAATGGCTGCCCACTCCAGTATCCTTTCCTGGAGAATTCCGTGGGCAGAGGAGCCTGGTGGGTTATATAATATAGCCCACGGGCTCACAGAGTCAGACACAGCTGAGCCACTAACACTTTCACTTTGCCTCTCACTACAAAGGCCAGTCTGGCCCAACTTAAAGAGCCAAGGATGCATTTCCTGACAGCTGAGGCACTGCTGATTTGGAGGTGTCCTTAGCAATAAGGGTCTTCAGACACCCTAGCAAGAGCTGCTGGTTGGAGTTCCCCCCACAGCATCTCTAAAATAACATGCGTTCAGCCCTACAGCAGTGGAGGTGAGCAGGCGAATTTCCTGGAGGAGGGAGGAGGGTTGCGGACAGGACCAGCCTTCCAGCGCCAACCCACAGAACTCACTTCACTGCGGGACAGTCCTTCAAAGTCTACCTCGAACCCAGTTCCCCCAAAGTGGGCAGAAACAGAGGAGGAGAACTCTAAACTACTGTCTATGCCTTGTACCCTCTTCTGGAAACACAATTTACTAATAGGAGAGCCAATTTGGAAAAAAAAACAATGTAGATGCTACTCAAATTTCAGAGCTATGTTATCAGTGGGGGAAAACTATTAACGAAAGTGAATGGCATGTTTCTCGCATTACAAAGTAAATTCCTCTTAATAATTTTGATTAGTAACAAATTTGGATTGCTTTTAAAACAATATATTTTTATTTATTTGGTATGCCGGTGTCTTAGTGTGGCACACAGGATTTTTAGTTGCGGCATGTGGGGCCTGATTCCTGATCAGGGATCAAACCCCGACCCCCTGTGTTGGGAGCATGGAGTCTTAGCCCCTGGACTCCCCAAAGCCCTGAATTACTTTTAACAGAGACAATGAATCACACTGGTTAAAATCTTAATAATATTGTATTTATTAATATAGTAAACCCTGAATATAGAAGATCTATGGCTCCATGAATACTTTCACTGGCTTAAAAAAAAAATCAAATGCTTTTTTGAAGAACAAAGTTGTACAATGGCATCTTAAATATCCACTGAAAATGACTTAACATGAAATATAACAACATGATTAATAGTTGTCACATTAGAGTGGTTCTTTTCCGTGTCTCTTTTCCAAATTTCCTATAGCACGGTTACATAATTTTTATAATAAAAATTGTAAATTAAGAATTTGAGGTTACAAAACGTAGTTGACTTTGCAAAAATCTTCAAACAAACAAGGCAGGAAGGGGGACATTCAGCCAAGATGAAGATGCTGGGTGGAGAGGTCTGGGCGAGGAGCTGGGAGTGGCAGCCCTTCCCTTCATGTCCAGCTGCGCTGCCCCTGGAGACAGCAATCAGCAGGAACCCCCTCTCCTGAGGTGGGAGGTCCCACCAAGGTGGGGAGGACAAGTGTGCAACGGCTACGCGCTTATCAGCCCTGTGTACCTGGGGAAACTCAAGAGCGCGTCTGGAACCTACACTTGATCCAGTTTGATGGTGAGGAACGTGAGGTTCGCGCACGAAGACCAGAATGGCCGGTTAACAGTGACCTCCCAGGAGCAGTCACTGTAGGAAGCACACCATCGGACCGGCACTCTATAACCCACGGGCTGAGGGAGAGAGGAGGCGCCTTTCGTTTCTCGAATCATGCCTCACTTACTCAGCAATGTCCACTTCAGGAGCCGAGCGCGGGCCTGTAAACAGACCTCACACAGACTGGAGCAGGGGACGGCCGTCCCCGCCAGCGCTCTCGCCCGGAGAACCCCACGGACGAGGAGGCTGGGGCCAGTCTGTGGGTCGCAGAGTCGGACTGCCTGGGCGACTGAGCCGTCGCCAGCACACGACACTGGCAGCCCACAAAGCAAGCTCCTCACGCCCTTGCGGGGTTTTCTCTTGGGGGGTGGGGGCTGCAAACCAAAATCCGTCCTGAGAATGTGTGTGCGTCTCAGAAGATAAATTCTTAAAACTCATTTCAAGAAGTAGCCTAGTGGACCTTCCAAACTCAACCCAGGGAGGGGGACCATAAATGCTTCGTGTGTTGGTCTGTAAAAACAGAAAGCCCTCAAGAAGGGCTCCGGAGTCCATTCCTGGGGAAGGCGCGCAGTGTGTGGCCTGAGGCTACGCCCGCGGATGTCACCCCCTCCCTAAGCGCCGGACGCGCCCTCCTCCGCCTCGGAGGCGTCCCGAGGCCGGGCACCCGCACCTCCCCGCGGCGCCGCCGGGGTCACAGCTGCTGGCTGCTGAAGAAGGACTTGGTCTCCCTGCAGGTGGGGTTCACGCAGAGCGGACAGCTCAGGGTCAGCTGCGTGGAGCAGCGCTCCTTGGACTGGAGGTGTGCGTGGACCAGGTCGGCCAGGGCCTGAGGACAGACGGGAAGGACAGACGGTCAGAAGCGCAGACCGCGCTGCTCCCCACGCCGCCTCCACGCCCGTCTGCCCAGAGGAGCGCTAGGGCGTGGGGCTTCTCTTCACCTCAATTATTGATTTGCACCCTTTGAACCCAATTCTATAATGTCTTCCTTGCCTAAGAACTCTCAACTTAGAGAAAAGGCGAAAATACAGGTTTTAGAAAACGAAATCCCCACACCCCAACTGCCGAACCTTGTCTCTGGAAGGCAGATTTTAAATTAGACGTCGTGATGGGTGGGTGGAAATAAGAAAACAGGGACTCTCTGAAGGAGGAGAGAGCCAGAGTATAAGGAATTCGATTTTATTTTTCTAATTAATTGGAACTCAAAATGTTCTAATATGTGAGAAAACCAATATTCTGTAAGAGTTTCTCAGAGGACCGCTCTCCGACATGTTCTACTAAAATGGTTGTAACATTAGCGATACCTTTGAGAACAGTGGGTTTCCATTAAGAGACTCCGCTCTTCTGATGTTTTCAAGTCCACACTGAATCAAATGAGAAAAGAGAGGAAAAACACATACACATTTTATTTTCCTTTTTTTTTTTTTTAAAGAAACTGCTACAAAAAAATAAATACACATACAGATACACACACAACTCAAAGTCTTGGTACCAAAGTATTTGCAGACTACCCAGAAATGAAAAATAGTCCTGAGACCACGCATAGACACTGATTTTCACCTCTTTATTATCAAATTGCTCATCAATTTCTATTCCCACCCCCCAGCCCATGACCTTCCAATGGGTGCTTTGTTTCCAAACCATTTTTGAGGTTCTGTCGGATAGAATACTCAAATAATTTAAATCTGCTTACCATTCTTTTTTTAGTCCACCTTTCTAATGCCTACTTATAGACTCTACCTAAGCAGAATATTGGTTTAATAACTTAAATTTTTTTTATGCATGCTTTGATTCCAAGTGTCAAAAGAGGTAAATTAATTTAATGTGTATTGAAACTAGATTGAATCTAATATGCAGAGTTGGGATTTTAAATATATTCTTACCCAGGAAAGTCTAAATTAAAAAACTAAGGATTATTTCACAACCATCCTTACTCCCCTCTCCAAAAATATCCTGTTAATTCCAGCTAATTATCCCGCAAATAATTGAGAAATATCTAACTATTATTTACTCAGGTAGCTAGGATCCTCTCTTTCCCTTTCTAAATGCTGATGGCTTTTCCGTTGCTTTATCTTTTAAGTTAGAAGACTGGAAACGGGAAATGGGTGAGATTCAGCAAACACATAGTTCTCAACAGTTCGATCATATTCTGAAACTTCACAGAGAAGTAAGCTGGTTATTCTGCTGCTGGTCACTGTTCTCAAACACTGTTTTTGTTTTGGCCACACTACACAGCATGCTTAGTTCCCTGACCAGGGATTGAACCCTCCCTCACCCCATGCAGTGGAAGCATGGAATTTTAATCCCTGGACCACAAGGAAAGTTCCTAGAAAGCATCATTAAATGAAGTCCATAGATAACCCTACAATCTCATTTTAGCCAATTAGAACTTTCCCATAAATTCCTTATCAGAACTGCTGACAAGAACCTTAGGCACCCTCTACCTTCACGACCGGCTGGCACAGACAAAAACGGGGCCAAGGGTGGGGGTGGGGTTGCTGCTGAAGCTCCCCCAACCCTCTCTCCACCCAGCCCTGCACCTGCCGCCTGGTCCCAGAGAGGGAGACGTATTCTTTGCTACCAGGCCCCCACCCAGCACACGTGGGATGACCAGGGCCGAGAGCTGGGATGCAGGATGAGCGGGGAGGTCTCTTTGGGTCCCCAGGGTTCCACGGTTCCCACAGAAACCATGCTAGGAAGGGGACGCAGGTTCAGGCCGGCCCTCAGAAGCCTTGAGATGGGTCAACAGTGGTTTTCCTCCATGTGGATGACAATCACATCCATCTTTCGTTACAAGACACTCAGGATGGTTGGTATTTGTTATTTCAATAATCAGATTGATCACAGCATAGTAGCAAACAGCTAATTAAGTGAGTGCATAAAAGAGGTCAGGGAAATTACAATACATAACTGCTCCAGAGTTCATCCCATGGTCTTTCTTAAATGAGGAGGATCCTGGTGCCTCGAAACCCAAACAGAAGCAGCATCACAGCCCGAGCAAAGGGCACTATTAGGTGAAGAAAGGAATTATATAGAGAACAATAAAATTCTTTTCTTCTAAGCTGGTGAGAAGTACACTTATTTTTTTTCTCAAGGAAATGTGGTTTTTATTACTTTCAATGGGTACAGTAACTCAAACTAAACGCAATGATGTTGCCTGCAGTGATGCCCGGGTCACCCATTTTGCAAAGGCACGTAAGTGCTTTCCCCCTACAAATGTGGAAGTGAAGTTGATGTGCTTGGATCAGTACGTGGATGAAGTATTATCCGGAATGAGGAGGCCACAGTACATACAAACACACATACCAAGCAGTATTTCTGAATGACACAATTAGATCACTGCAGAGAGAGCTACCTTTTAAAACAAATGACATTTCAAAAAAATAAAATCAAATCAAAATGGGATTAATAACCACACTTACCTCATTGGCTAGAACTTGAGAATATTCAATGTCCAACTCATACAGAGTTTCAATGTGATCGCTGGTAAACGCTATCGGAACCAAAAGGATGTTCTTCCTTCCCCTCTTACAGAGCCCTTTGATGGCCTCGTCTGTCTGAGGACCCAGCCAGGGCATCGGGCCGACCTATGAGAAAGCAGGAGTGCACACAGGGACCGTGTCTTACCACAGCCCACTGCACCGGACACACTCACATGTGCGCGGGTACACACACACACACAGAGCCTCCCTGTAAGGGTGAGGGCCATGCTTTACACCTCACTAATGCGTTTGGTATTTCTTTATTAGGCTTGTTGAAGCCTTCTAGAAGCTGGCAAAATATAAAGAATTTCTGTGATTTCAACTGAAAATAATCTACTGTTTGAATGGAATCAATGGAATTCTGCTCATCACTTGTTTTCCTCTCCATCATATTTGCTTGCAGAATTCCTCCTGCTCATATGAGCAGTCAGGTTATTGCAGAACACTCTGTCTGCATGAAAAGGCCAAATCTGACTGTTTTATAACGAAGTCCTAAAATAGACATCTGCCGAAGCGCTGACTGCCTGCAAACGTGTGGAAGTCACCTACCTTGGACTGCCAAACCAGTCGGTAGGGGTTGGAGTAACCCAGCTTGTCCATGACTCTTTGGACAGTGGCGCCCACCTCCTGAGGATAGGGGTCCCCTCTGTTGACCACCTGCAGCAGAGACACAGGAGTTCAGTTGCCAACACTGTGCAGGGTTGTGAGAGCCTGGGGCTGGGTGGGCAGGTGGCCTGAGCCCTCGACTGGAGGCTGCCCCTCATCCTCCACACTGATGCCCACGCCAGCTGAGCTCAAGGCCAAACTCACTTGGATGGACTTCATTGGCCAAAGGAGCACAGGGTACCAAATCGGCTGGCGGGTTCCTGGAATGCATCAGATCCTACATCCACGTCATCCATAGGAGACTGACCACATACACCGCTGGAGGATGGGTTTCTCCAATCCCCCAGCTGAGTTAGGGACAATGACACAGAAAAGCTGGCACGGAAGAGGCGACATGAGATGGGCCTCCCCTTGTGGTTAGTTACCCGAAGGGCTGACTCTATTTTAATTGTTGACTGTGCTGTGCAGTATGCAGGGTCTCAGTTCCCTGAACAGGGACTGAACCTGAGCCACAGCAGTGAAAGCCCGGCATCTTAACCCCTGGACTGCCCAGGGAACGCCCCGATTTTAGAAATGGAGCTGAAAGAGTGCTGTACGGACAGTGTCTAGAACTACTGAGTTCGTGGGGCCCAGGTGAACAAAAGAGGTGAACACGAGTGGAGTGAGAGGAAGCAGCAGCACATGGCTCAGATTCCAGGCTCCTTGAGAACATGGCCTGTGCCTTCGAGTTCCTTCCAGTTCCTTCTCCCCACTCATCCCACAGCAGCGGACCATGGCCACGCTTTGAGCACAATGTCTGCAAGCGCTCCTCACCTTTGAAAGTGAACACCTATGAAAGTGTACAACAGAAATTTTCTTCTTACTGCTTTAATATTTAGCTGTATGGTTGCTCTTTAGTTGCTAAGTCGTGTCTAGTTCTTTTGCGACTCCATGGACCATAGCCCACCAGGCTCCTCCGTCCATGGGATTTCCCAGGCAAGAATACTTGAGTGGATTGCCATTTCCTTCTCCAGGGGATCTCCCAGACCCAGGGATCGAACCCACGTCTCCTGCATTAGGAGGTGGATTCTTTACCATTCAGCTACCTGGGGAAGCCCATGTAGCAGTGTACCAACTTTCTAAGCCCGCCATCCTGCTTGCTTTCTTCCTACAACACTTACTACTTCTAATGTTTCATACTGTTTTCTTATCTATTATGCTTATTATCTGCCTCCTCTCCCTCATTCCCTGAAGGCAAAGATTTTTTTTGTCTGTTTTGTCATTCCCTGATTTTGCAATAGGGGCTAGAACAGTGCCTGGAATAGAGTAGGTGTTTAGTAAACACTGTTGAGATGAAATGATGAGCTATTTGATGATATGGCTAAAAGTGAGTTTGCCATTCGAAACATAAAGGCAGAAGGAATGAGAGAAATACAAAGTCACCATTAGACCAACAGAGAAATATCCACTGGAGGCTAAAAATTAGTGAGCAAAGTCTGAAAAACAAGATATTTGCACAATCTATAAGAAGCTCACTTAAGAAACTTTTAATCACAAAGAGACAATAGTAACTTTCTAATGGGCAAATCCAGAAGACACCACCTTAGGCAAATGACCACGGATCACATCAGGAGCAGTAAGATGAATTGGCGTGATGCGTTCAGAAGCACGAGGGTCTGGCAAGGGTAGGAGGGGTTATTCTTCCTGGTGATAAACAACTTTAGTCTAAGCATGAGAAAATACCCAACACATCCAAATGGAGGAGCATGCTGCAAAATAACTGTGTGTGTGTGCGCACTAGTCACTCACTCGTGTCCAACTCTTTGTGACCTCATGGACTGTAGCCTGCCAGGCTCCTCCGTCCATGGGATTCCCCAAGCAAGAATACCGGAGTGGGTTGCCATGTCCTTCTCCAGGGGATCTTCCCCACCCAGGGATTGAACCTGGGTCGATCCTGCATCGCAGGCAGAGTCTTCACCTGTCTGGGCCACTAGGGTTGCTACAAAATTGTGCTTCAAAAATATCAAGTTCAGGAAAGACAAAGACAGTATGAGGAACTGTCCCAGACTGGAGGAGCCTAAGGAGCCGTCGCAAGTGCGTGCCCTGTGAGATTCTGGGAGGGGAAAGCCTCACCCGAGGAAGAGCTGGTGAAAGGGGAGTTAAGTCCTCCGGTAACAGCACTGTGCCTCCGCTCAGGCCTCAGGTCTGATCGCGGGACTTCCGGTTATGTGGGATGTCAGCATTAGCAGAAGCTAAGCGAACTCTGTACTATTTCTTTTCCGTAAGTCTAAAATGACTTCAACGTACATAACATATATAGTTTTAAAAGTTATTAAGGAGGAAAGGGGCTTCCCAGGTGGTGCCGGTGGTAAAGAAGCCACCTGTCAGTGCAGGAGACGGCCGAGACGGGGGTTCGATCCCTGGGTCGGGAAGATCCCCCGGAGGAGGAAATGGCAACCCACTCCAGTACTCTTACCTGGAGAATCCCACGGACAGAGCAGCCTGGTGGGCTACAGTCCGTGGGGTCGCAGGGTTGAGCACAGCCGAAGCGCTCAGCACGCAAGGGGAAGTCATTAGGAGCAAATGCAGAAGAGCGGAGCCTGCAAGAGGAGTTCTGCTCGACAGTCCCTCCGCCTTCCCGGCCCCATCCTGGCCCTTCTGACTTCATGGTGTGCCTCGGTCCCACCCAGGACCCTGGGCAGAAAACAAAGCCAAAACCCAGACAAAAACCCTGGAAGCCGCGTGCTCAGTCCCTGAGCGGGAGAAGGGGCAGTGAGGGCAGAGAAAAGCGGAGAGAAGACAGCACCTGGGACCGCTTGCACATGAACACGGGTTGCCTCCTCTCCCGGCTCCGCTCTGGCCCTTCCCACGCGGCCTCATCACACACGGGCGGGTACGAAGGAGGCATGAGGGCTGAGCAGGAGGACGGCCGTGCGGTCGCGCCCCCGGGCGAGAGGGAGACGCAGGCTGCGAAGAGCTCGCCCCGGCCACCGCCAGGCCGGTCAGAAGGGGGGCCCCAGAGAGGGCCCTGGGTTAACTCATGAACCCCGCAGCTAAAAGCTTCATGACGCCTACGGCGGTAACTCTCCGCCTCTCCAGCTTTGACAGCGAGGTTTTTAGGACACAAGGCTGCGAGCTGATGAAATGGGCTGCTCACCCCAAGCGTTTCTGTACATCATACATATACCAGCTCCACCACTCTTGTCTCCAAAAACGCGATAGTCATGGCACAGAAGTGGTATTTTAACGAACCCCCGGTGTAATATAAGAAACTAGGGAGCAACCAGATCATAACTGGATACATTTTATATTGACTGGCCAAAACGTGCTCCTGAGCCTTGGCAAATGAAAAACTAATCACTTCCTAGAATTCAGACAACTTCTGTCAAGTCTTGAGGACAAAAAGAATGGGGATGGGAGCGCTCAGTCTCAATACTGAAGCCCTACCAGCTGAGTTCCTTGAACAGGGCAGGAGAAAACAGCCTTCTTTAACTGTGCCATTTAATAAAATTCTCACATAGGAATATATCTTCAACTTATCATTTTAAAGGGACTTAGCAAGATAATATCTACTCACAATATCATAGTCTGAATTAATTGTTATTAAGTTTTAAGAGCTTTCCAGGTGGCTCAGCTGGTTAAGAATCCACCTGCAATGTGGGAGACCTGGGTTTGATCCCTGGGTTGGGAGGATCCCCTGGAGAAGGGAAAGGCTACCCACTCCAGTATTCTGACCTGGAGAATTCCATGGACTACATGTCCATGGGGTTGCAAAGAGTTGGACACGACTGAGCAACTTTCATTTTCAGATCTCAAGAAATGAGTCTAGCTAAATTAGCGCCAAGCTCAGTTTGAGATTTTAGAGTTCCTCCTTTTACTGGGCTTAGGCTGAACGGAAACTGGATCCACATTATACCTTTTGAACCCTCTACCACTGGGTCAGCTGACTCATTTGAAAAGACCCTGATGCTGGGAAAGATTGGGGGCAGGAGGAGAAGGGGATGACAGAGGATGAGATGGTTGGATGGCATCACCGACTCAATGGAAATGGGTTTGGGTAAACTCCGGGAGTTGGTGATGGACAAGGAGGCCTGGCGTGCTGCGTGCGGTTCATGGGGTCGCAAAGAGTCAGACACGACTGAGTGACTGAACTGAACCACTGGGTCATCCAACAAAACGTTCTTACTTACAGACATTGGCAGTGAGTGAGCAGAAAAAAGAATGACCACTTCACGTCTCTTCTCAGGAGGAAAGCGATCCAGCTCTTTCAGAATGTGGTCAGCGAAGCACTGCGGGAACACCAAGAAAGGTGGGGATACAGAGGGGGCGGGAAGAAAGACATGGAAGGAGAAGAAAATATTCTGTAAATAAGGGCGACATCACAAATCTCAGCGAAGCCCTCAAACACTGGAACTGTCTCTGTTTTAAAGAAAAAAAAACTGCCAACAATACAGTCTCTCTAGCTTTGATTCATCATCAGAATGGCTCATAACAGTTCCAGGGGCCTGGGGAATTTGATGGGAAACTTCTAAAGCTCGCTAATGGCTCACTGAAAATGAACGCTCTGGACCTGCTTCCCCGTGGGAGGCATGGGGCACACTTCCAGATGGAAAGGAAAGGCAGATGGGAAGGAGGAGTTGTTTTAAGACCTCTCGCTCACTCAGTTAGCAGGAAAACCGCTTACAGGGGCTTTCTGAATCTCCCCGAGTTTGGCTTTCAGGCATATCACATTAAAATACATTAGACAGAAATAACCGAGGGGTAAGAAAATATGGTTCCGTTTTTACGGCCTTGGCCTCCCTGAGTCAGTCTTCATAATGACCTTCCTAACAGCAGACGAGAAGGTTGCACAACTCTCGTTCAATTCACAGAGAGGGGAGACGCGGCCGACTGGGGGGCCGTCGGGTCCCATCTGCGGAACCTGGGCCAGAAGGCAGCCCCCGCTCCTCCACATCTCTGTCCACCAGACCAGCCAATCCCCTTCCTCAGCCGGCACGTCCAGAGTCACATCAGTAGGTGCTGAAATACCAGATCTGAGGAGGCTTCCTTTCATCTCACTCTTTAATCATGCTGTCATTCAACTTATAAAGCAAATGGCTACAAAGGACATGAATGGGTCAACTGACAAAATTGGAGTATGAACGGAAGTTGGATACATTTCAGTATCAATATGAAGTTTGCTGAAGTTGAATATTGTATCATTGCTATGGAAAAGAATATACTGTTTAGGTGTAAAGGGTGGTTTTACACGTCTGTGTGTGTGTGTGTACATATATATATCTTATTCTCAAAAGGTTCAGGAAAAAATTATGTATACATAGACACACATATGCACACACACATAAAGGTTATGCAAATGATAAAGTAGGATAAATATTAACGCAGGAATCTAAATAAAGAGATGAGAGTTCCATATATACTATTCTGGTAGTTTTTCTGCATGCTTCAAATTATTTCCAAATAAAAATGTTTTTAAAACATAATATTAAAAAAATTATCAAGGACAGTTTACCAGAACCATGTACATTTGTATTTGATGGCATTTTGATACATCAGTGGTTAATATGACAGGATGAGCAATTACTCCATAACAAAAATTGGAATATTATTAGTTTTCTCAGACCCCTCAAATTTTGATAAATTAACGCTCAAAGGCACAAAATGGTGCTTAGAGAGTTTGCTCCCTTTTCAAAATGTATAATTTACCTACAGAGTCAATGTGATAGGATGAGACACTAACATAAACAGTATTTTCTGGTGGTCTCTGCAGTGTTAGTAGACTAAGGATGCTCAGAAAAGATTATATTTGTACAAGCCCAGATAAGGAAGCCCAGTGCAAAGTTTAAAGACAGCCTGCAACATTCATTTACTCTAAATATTCCAGCAGTTAGATAACAGAAGCAAAATGGCTATTTTCAGTAATTATTATAAGTAGAAATGTAGATTAAACACAAGATTTTTAGTTCCAGCTTTTATTTTTTGTTTAGTTTGGGGTGTTTTTTTTTTTATTTCCACTAGATATCAAATCTTCTTGTGTAATCCACATAATACTAATAAACTCTAAATTTCTGTTTCCTCAAGATTTTAGTAGGATTTCTCCTTTTATCATCTTGCATGCAAGTAGAGACACAATTTCTTACGGCTTACAGCAGACTCTAAGCTGTCTGCAGCACCGAGGAGGCGTGGGCAAGCAGAAGTGCCCTGAAATCATCTAAAACCCATCTGCGGTATTTTCCAGGCGCAGCCCCTCTGCAGAATGAAAGCGGCAGGCGGCTCTCAGAGCCTTCAATCACACCATCGAGGAGGGCGGATAAATGCCTCTAAAATTCCCTTTCATTTTATGAAGGGAGACTTCCTCAGTTAAGAGACCTTTCCATCTTTCGGCTTCCCCCCTTTTCAAAGGACTGAATTTTAATGCAAATCTAATTACCGCCTCGATCAGGGCAGGCAGATGCTGCACAGATCCCCGCTTCTCTGCTGCCACATGGCACCGCTGACCTGAGACACCCCTCGTTCCCAAGCCCGGGCCTCCGGAGCAAAGCATGCAGGCCAGGCTGGGGCTGCAGGCAGTCTGGACGGGCACCGCCTCCCCGGAAAGAGCACACTCGGTGGGGACACCACACCTGGACCAAAACGACACCCATCCCTGAGGGGAGGCGCCTTCTGCCCACTTCTCGCTTAAAACTGAATTTCAGCCTCTGCGTTAACCCTTGACAGCACCTATGCACACGGACTGCTCAGGGGCGAGCCGGCCGGCGTTCCACGAGGTCTACCACCATCTAGTGGTTACAGATGGAAGTGACTCCAGGCTTCAAAAAAAAGTGTGTAAGCAGGTATTTTGCCTGAGAACCTCCGAGGGATGAAACATAAACTAGATGAGCCCCACGTCACTTACTATTTCTTCTACCTAAACTAACTCAAAGGTAGAAAATTCTGCCAACAGAACCAAGCAGTGTGTGTGTGACGGACAATCCCCACTAGTACTCCCATATTTAAAGAGTGAAAAAGTATATCCTAACACCATTTCAAAGCTTTGGAATTGTAGTTTTAACTGATTCTCCTAAAACCAAGCATCTGTTACTATAAATATTATGTATATAAACTGCATAGGGGACATATGAAACTTCTTCTAATATATGATATTTTCTCAATTGAAATGTTAAATTTATTCTGTGTCTCAGAGCATGTAGATATAGTCCCTTTAAAATCTTTAGGTCTTGATATTTTAACAGATTTAGAAAATAGAGAATCTATTAGTTGGCTATTCAGTCTATGAATGGAGATTAGATAAAACACCCTGCATAATTCTTTTCCCTTGCATATTCTTTAACGTTCTTTTGGTCATTGTGAAATACAAAATTCAAAACATAATTCTGCTATAGTTTGCAATTAATACTATTAATCTGAAGAAAGGTAAGAGTTAAACCTTTAACCTTTACATTTCTTTTCTCCTGGCATAATAAATCAAGACTCAAATACCTTTTTTTTATTCCCCAGCACACGATTTAAGGAAGAGAACAGTAGGCTCAGAAGGACACCCACAAAGCAGGCTGGGACAAGAGCCTGGCCCACACCAGAAGCTGGGGTGGGCAGCTGGCAGAGGCCGGCTTACCTGAATAAGGAGAGGGTGCGTTGGCCACCTGTCAATCGTGCTCCACTTCATTGTGGGCTCCTTGCCCGCCTCATTATAGTATCTGTAAATGGCATTTAAGCTGCTGCCTGAAATATACAGGGGCCACTTAGTACATGCATGTGGATTATGGTGAAAATAAAAAAACCGACTAGTAAAGGCAGTAATTATAAGTTCAAAGCAGGTAACTTCTGCACTGAGTCAGTCTAATTACAATCATTTCAATACTCTAAAATGCATATAGATCTAACTACCCTGCAAATGAAGATCACTAAAAAGCAATCAATTTCAATGACCTTTCAAAGATTAGTGAGGCCACTTCTCTAGAGAAGCACAGTGGCGGTGGATTTATGAAATATAAGCGGTCGTTATTTGCAAGCCCAAGTCTTACAACGGAAAACATGTTACATTTTTTTTCCCCATTATGAAGGGAATCAACCCCATTTACAGGAAATATAGGGGGTAGGAAAGAGAGGGAAAAGAAACCAGCCATAACCCCAGCATGCTACCACAATCATTGTTTTATTCTAACTCGTTCTTTCCAGTGATTTTTCGTTATAGCTGTCATGTTTCACAAATTCATTTCAGTATATGGGCACTTTTGTATCCTGAATATTTAGGGCATTTTTCCTTAGCATTATGAATGAATGTTTTCCACATTATAATAAAAGCTTTATAATCATCCTTTTTAATGGCTCATTGACAAGAATAGCAGCTTATTAAGGCTTCTAAGCTCATTCTCTATTTTTATCTGCTTTATTAAATTATCCTCACTCCCTAGAGTAAGTTAAATGGGTACCAAATCCTTGCAGGTAATCTATCAAAACTTGTATTTCTAAGCAAGAGATGGTTAACATGAAAATTCAAAGACTAAAGAAAGGAAGGCAGATGGTGCCAACCCAGGGCAATTTTTTTCCTGGCCTAGAGGATTTGGCACTGGGGCCAAGCCCTAATCCTATGAAACCAACCCTAACATGGGGGCCTCCTCATCAATCTTCACGTGGGGCAAATGCTCCCAAAACAGCCATGCTTCCTGACACCACTAGTTTCTCTAGTATAACTCTTCATCAGTCAGGTCTCCAAATAAAAAATGCTTGCTAGGACAAAGCCATACGGACATCACATGTACTCTCAGGCTAAGACTCGATTTTCAAAAAAATAAAATCCAGTTCCATTTTTCTGAGCAGACTGCAATAAGTCAGATAAATCCAAATGGAGTCCATCCCAGGTTCAAAACCCGTCTCTCCAGAAATCAAGAAGCAGTCACCGCCACCTGCATGTTGCAAGCCACATTTTGCAGAGGAACATTCATTTTCAGATGGATTGGGTTGGCCAGAAAGTTCGTTTGGATTTTCCTGTAACATCGTGCCTGAAGGAACTTTTTGGCCAAGCCAATACAGAAGGACTTCCAGCAGCCACGGGAGGTCTTCTGGGCCACTCAGAAGCATTCGGTGAAATGCCTAAAGTAGCAATTAAGGGCAGAGCATAACTAAAAAAACTGCCTGATTAAGAAAGGCCATTGATCAAAGCAAGACTACATAAAAAGTAGGAAGTTTCGTCTACGGCCATACCACCCTGAACGCGCCTGATCTTGTCTGATCTCGGAAGCTAAGCAGGGTCGGGCCTGGTTAGTACTTGGATGGGAAAAAGTAGGAAGTTTTCAGAGACAGAAACCTTAACTAAAGAATTAGAAATACTGTCAGAATCCTGCTATGGAAGACCTAAATCTCTCTACTTTACATGATAAACTCAATAAATGTGCAGATATTAAAAAAAAGAAAAAAGTGATACATCAAATATCTGGTGCTGCCACACGTGTGTAAATAAAGCAACAGATAAATGACACTCTAGTGGCCTCCAAGAATGAACATGCCTTCACACCTCTGCAGTGAGGCTGCACCTTCCCTGTGTCCGAGGGAGCACACACAGGCCGAGCCAGCTGGGAGATGTGCTGGTTGTCAATCCCTTGTCACATAAATAACCATCTTCTTGCTTAATTTTGACAGCAGACATGTACATGGTGAGTTGAGGTATATTTTTGAAAGCCAGGCAAAAAGTATAGCTTAGAAAGGTCAAAAAATTTTTCTCCAATAACATGGTAGACATGTTACCAGACATTTTAAAGGCACATATCCAAAAGAAATTACAATTCAAACTCTTGAGGCACTTTCACAGGGGCTCTGAATAAATATTTAAGGCACACACTAGGCTTCCAAGATTTCTTCCAGTAGCCTTTTGTCTTCTCCTTCCTGTTATAGAAATAATATGCACTAATGTCCAAAAGCAATTTAGAAGTAAAAATGTGCTGACCCCAGAGCCTTGAAAAAGAATGCAAACAAATGTAATTGTGGCTGACATTAGATGATTTACCTATACCTAATGATACAGAGATTGGCAAAACATTATCCTCCAGCTCCAATTAAATATCTAGGAAACACCACCCAGTAATACTTGCTCAAATCTAGAACACTGAGAGAAGTTAGCAGAGGAAACCCTAAATTGGGCTTTGGTTTGACCAGGAACCAACCCGTAACCAAAATACATATCCATATTTCCAATGTTGTATGGACACCTCTGCTTGCAAAATGGAAACATCTATCACCTTCGCTGCATTAATAAGAATACTGGCGTAGCCATAAAAACAAAGGTTTATTACACAAACACAGAAAGTGACTTAAGGCGCATCACGGATCCATTCTACACGCATTAAAGCACTGGACCCTGGAAGCCGCTGCCTTTCACCCACCATTTGTAATTCTCAGGGCACTGGCTAATAACTCAAGGGACAGATGAACCATGAGATTTCAAATAGACTGACCTGAACTCTCACGTTTAACACAGACAGGCTGGATTTGCCATTCAAATCGAAAGTGATTCACCCTCTGCTCCGGCCCCGCTCTGCTGGTTCTCAGCAGGGCCAGGGCCGCCCCGCCACCGGCAGGCAGGCTTACCCGTGGTGGAGCAGCTGAACTGAGGGTACTGCGTGAAGGCGACTGCTCTCTCCAGGCCGTCCCGCTCCATCTCTCCAACCGCTTCCTCTGTTAACGGGTGGACGTACCGGAATCCAATATAGTACTTGTGCGGGGCTGTTAGGAAGCATGTGTGGAAAGGAGAGAGTATTCATCTTGATATACATTCCGAACATAATGCAGTGCCCAGAACAAAGGACAGTTAACCTAATTTCCTGTGAGGCTGATAATGTGGGCAAGGTTAGAAATATTCCTTGGATCTTTTCCAGGCTTTCGCTGGTAGATGCATTTTTCACCACTCTTTTTCTGTGATCAACCTCCCCCGTCACACATATTTTCATGGAACACGTGGTTTTTAAAACTCAAGCTTCCATGTCTTATTCTCTGCTTTTGGCCAAGACAAGAGAGACTCAAGAGCAAGGAGTTGAGAACTAGCATTTATTCTTAAATATAACCTCCTCTATGGACCAGGCACCATGGCAGACACTGCACTTTTTTCTTCTCATCTAAACCCCGTTTTTCAGGTAAGGAAACAGACTCTCAGAGGTTATTGAGCCACCCAGAGGCATACCTAGCAGACAGTCCAGATGAGATTTCCTGTGCTCCGTCCATGCCCATCACTTCACCCCAGCCTTCTCATCACCCAAGTTCCCTTCTCCTGTTCCCTCAGACCCCAGGCCACCTCGTCTATATGAAAGCTCTGGGATACTCAATAAAAGTTCATTGATAACAAATGATTGAAACGATTCTCCTCACTTACATGAAAAACAAGACCAAACCCAACAATAATGCTTAAGTTGGAGGCACTGAGTGGGATTTAAAATCATTCTTCTGGGACTGCTTTGCCAATCCAATGATTAAGACTCTGCTTCCAATGTAGGGAGCATGGGTTCAATCCCTGGTCAGGGAACTAAGACCTCACATGCTGAGTGCGGTGGACAAAAATTAACAATAAAATCATTCTTCTGGCTCCTAAATGTCCCAAGTCAGGGGGTGTCTTTGTATTCCCTGTTCCATCACTTCACCAATTCTATGTCCTCCTTTATTATTTTAAAAGCTCCTCAACCAATTTTTTTTGGCATTTATAAAATCATAAAAATGGAAGCTTCCTAAAGCTACCCAGGGCTTCCCAGGTGACTCAGTGGTAAAGAATCTACCCACCAAGCAGGAGACTCCAGTTCTATTCCCGAATCGGGAAGATCCCCTGAAGAAGGAAACCGCAACCACCTCCAGTGTTCTTGCCTGGGAAATCTCATGGACAGAGGAGCCTGGTTGGCTGCAGTCCATGGGGTCGCAAAGAGTCAGACACAACTGAACACTCACGCATCCTGTTTACTTGTCTTTTCATAGGATTATACCCAGTTTATACTCAGGGATGAAATTGAAAATACATGACATAAACGTTAAGTCTAGTAAAACCAAGGTCATCTTACTGTCCAGGCCTCAGCCAGGGCTGCAGCTAAGAATATGATGCTAAATTGCCACAAGAAAACATTTCAGTTGAAGAGAAGAAAAAGATAATACATTAATTGTGTGTGTGTGTCTCTGTGTATGTACTATAATGTATGTTTTATACATATGTGTATTATGTATATGAATAAATGTGTATTATATATGTGTATGTGTGTATTATATATGTATTATATATATGTGCATGGTGGATATAGACCTATAAAACATCCCTCAGTAACTTGACCAGGGGACCGAATCAGTGGACTCTGCTGTCCAGAACAGAGGCCGAGTCAACCCGGGGGGGAGCGGCACATCTGTGCGTGGGGAGGACGGTCTGGTTCAATGTTCTCCGGTGGCGACTAGAAAAAGAGGAAGGAACAAAAAGAGGAAGGAGGGGGCGCAAATGAAATCCTTCTCGGCTGCCTGGCCCTTCGAGGCCTCCGATTTTCTGGTCTCTTGCATAAAACATGGTGGCCTGCCGTTAAACCCCCCCAGAGGACAGAACCCAATAAGCAAACTCCCAAGGACAGCTTGCTCAAAGATTACGAGGTTCGCGCTAAAACCGCCCACGATCACAGGATCATCAGGCCCACTTTTCAGGAGCTCTTGGTGCTCTGCGCTGAGACTGAAGTGGAATTTGCTTTCTGATCTATTTTGAGACAATACAATGATCAGACTGGCAGAGCCAGATCCCCCAAACACTGTGGGTCACCTGGCTTCTGGCGTTTTCCTTTCCACAGGCTGCTGGGAGTTGAAAGCTGCAGCCTAAACGCCCAGGGCCTGGGAGTTTCTCAGATGTTACAGACTCAGAGAGGTGGAGAGGCCTCCCTCACAGATAAAGGCCGGGTGGCGACCATATCTGGAGGTGAGACAGAATAAGATACTCTGGAAAGAACAGATAATGCTTTCCAAACGGTCCAGTTCAAGATGGCCCGCAAAAACATGTTTCAGAAAAAGTGACGAGGCACTGGGCCTCTCCTGAGGAACTAACAAGCCTTCACGGAGGCTCCCAGCTGCCTCGGGGAGAGGAAGGAGGCTCCAGGGGGTCAACCAGCACCCCGTCTAGTGGGCACCACATCCGGCCAGAGCGAGCCCGCAGCACGACTTGCTGACCCCGCCGCAGCCACCCAGTGAACACTCTGGTGAGAACTACAGAGAAGTTAAAAAAAAAAAACAACAAACAGAAAAACCATTTTTTTAAACAGTAAAACTTCATTAACCTTCACTCCATTCATTAGCAATGGGCAATAGTTCAAACGTCTGATTCGTACGTGACTCTTTGAGAGAAGGGTGTGAAGCTATTATGATGCTTTTTGATTTGTAGCCGATCATGGTGAATAAGAAAAGCTCAAGTCTCCTGAATTTTTATCATGTAACCATGCTAATGCCTCTCAGGATTATCTGATTTTAATGTTCACAGTAATCCTAGGAGTGGGAGTGTATTATCATCCCCATTTTCCAGATGGGGCTCAGCGAGTTGAGTCATCTGCCTGATCTCACACAGCTAGGAATGGGGAAGCCAGCTGAGCCGGAAATGATCCCGTTTTGCATCCAATAAAGAATAAAAGTCTTTTACTGAGTAGCACTTAATCAAGAGCTTCACTGAAAGCAGACACAGTGCATATAACTAGATATCGCTTTTAAAATATATTTTACTGTATTCCTTTTCTAAAATAAGGATCATGTATGATCATTCATTTTTGGCTGTGCTGGGTCTTTGCTGCAGCACATGGGCTTTCTCTGCCTGCAGTGAGCGGAGGCTGCTCTCCAGCCGCTGTGAGCAAGCGTCTCCCTGCAGCGGCTTCTCTTGTGGCCGAGCGCAGGCTTCAGAAGCTGTCGGTCCTGGGCTTAGGCTGCTCTGGGGCAGGTGGAACCTTCCGGGACCAGGAATAGGACCTGCATCCCCTGCACTGGCAGGCGGATCTCTAACCACTAGACCACCAGGGAAGCCCTAAAAACGTATTTTAGATTTTAACTTTTCATGAACTGAAATGACTACACCTCTCATCTGTATTCCTTCTGTGTTCCTTAAATGACTGCGGTGCAGTCTAACTCTGTGAAACCAATTCCAAGTTATATTCCCTCGTGGAGTGCACTGTATTTAGTCAATACTCAAGTCTGTGCAGAACCTGTGCAAGCCTCAAACTTTCTATCCTGGCTACCAAGCAACAACTGTTTGCCCACCAAATGGGAATATGAAACATTCTTATCTGGTTGTAATCATCACACCTTTTTAATTTTTTTGCCTAAAGAGAGCTTGTCCAAATATACATGAACAAATAGACACACAGTTCAGAAATAGACTATAATTTTACAGGATAAAAACTGTAAGAAGGGAGGAAAGAGATGCAGAGACAGGGAAGCAGGAAGCGGGAAGGAAAAGCAGCATGAAGGAGGGAGGCAGGGAGGGAACCCACGCTGGTCCCCAAGGCGGCTGAGGGCCCACTGCCAGCTTCAGGTCCACCCAGCCAACTGTGACCAGAGGGACAAAAAGCTTCCAGGTAACCTGAGGGAGCCATGGAGCCACGTCTGGTGATCGCCTTACTAGTCTTTCATGCAAAGTTCCCCAAAGAAGCTGCCAAACCTTGAGACTGTTTGCAACATCCTCATCAGCTGCCACACTGGTTTTGTAGAGAATCGCCCCACAAAGCCTTCAGAAGATTTTCCTCTTGGCCCCTGGAGCAGACTGGCCTGGAGCAGCAAGGCCACACGAGACTAGAAGCTTCTTGTGAGTAGAAGCCATGTGTTTCGACTTTGAGTAGCAGCATCACCAGGGCAGGGCCCTGGCTGGGCCACTGATGAGTGAATGTGTGGGTGGTTGTGGGCCTCCTTAAACACCCCTCCGCCCCCGGGGCAGGCCTGCTGGAATGACGAGATGGCCATCTACCACGCAGGAGAAAGGCAGAATTGAACTTGTCTGCCTCAGAGAGTCCCAAGCATGGGCCGGTGACATGCCCGAGGGTCAACACCAGGTGTCTGACAGCGAGTGGGTCACTGCTGTTCAGTCGCTAAGTCGTGTCTGACTCCTGGCGAACCCACGGACGGCAGCACGCCAGGCCCCTCTGTCCTCCACCGTCTCCCAGAGTTTGCTCAAATTCACGTCCACTGGGTCGGTGATGCTATCTAAGCATCCCATCCTCTGCCGCCTTCTCTCTTTGCCTTCAACCTTTCCCCACCTCAGGGTCTGGCACCCCGATGATCAGGGAATGGGACGCTGGGATAAATCCAGGTCATTCTATGGGACTCCTACCAGGCCACCCGGGGGGGGTGGAGGCCACAGCTGGCCCGCCGGGCCTGGACAAGCTCGCAGCTTCAGCACAAAGAGGGGACGAGTAAGATGCATGGGTGTTCCTTCTCCAAGGCTGCCGGCTCCACTGGGGCCTTCGGCGACGGGCGCTGGACTAAGATGTCAACAGGGAAAGCGGAGTCTTCCCAGCACCTCTGTCCACTGAGGGCAGCACGGCAACTGCAGACCTGGCTCACCCTGAAGCTTCACTGTGATAAACTGTTAATGCCTAGGGGGTGTTCTCTATCAGGTAGGTGTGTGAGGCGACATCAGTCAAGTCCCCTCACCGGACAATTTAAAAGATATCCTGTGTCACGTGTGGCTGACCGTGACTGTGACCTGCAGCCACAAGCGAAGGGAGCGAGCAAAGCCAACAGTCAAAGGCGCAACCGAGCAACTTTCCAAGTGAGAAGCTCCGCCAAGCGTGGGAGCCTCTTGTCCCACAAGTGACACAAACCCGTGGGTTCCAAGAGCAACTCGAGATGACACTCAGTGAGATGCTCTCGATCCTGCCTAGCGGGCCTCTCTCCTTGACGGTCCCCACTATGTCTCACTCCTGTCCTGATTCTGAACCTTAAACTACAGCAATGAACACATTTCATGTATCCTAAGATGCACATTTTTAAACATCTTGCATTGGTCTGCAGCAGACGCTGTCTTAAAATTAACTGGCAGAGGTCTTATGTCTTTGTGAATCCCATGGACAGAGGAGCCTGGTGGGCTACAGTCCATAGGGTCACAAAGAGCTGGACACGACTGAAGCAACTTAGCATGTACGCGTGCACATTATGCAAAAACAATGGTGCAACCTGCAACCAATGGTGTCTTGAATGCAGTTAAATACAGCACTTCGAGTTCCTTCGTGCAGTTAATGTTTCATTGTGTGCACTGTAACTTGTGTTAGAGGTTCTCAGAGAACAGCCACCAGATATAGGCAACCCTCTTTTTAATGCCACGCATGACAAGGCATTTAAATGACTCACAACGAGGGTGTTGCCAAGAGCTGAAAGCGGTTGCTGAAAGTTGCATAGAGACTCATGGCTGCAGTGACAGCTGCTGATTCTGCTCTAGTGGCTGATCTAATTAGCCATCCACACAGAACTAATTCAGTAAGTTGCTCAGTCGAGTCTGACTCTTTGTGACCCTATGGACTGTAGCCCACCAGGCTCCTCTGTCCATGGGATTCTCCAGGCAAGAAGACTGGAGTGGGTTGCCATGCCCTCCTCCAGGGGAATCTTCCCGATCCAGGGATCAAACTAACATCTCTTATGTCTCCTGTACTGGCAGGCAGGTTCTTTACCACTAGTACCATCTGGGAAGCAGCAGCCTCAACCCATTTCCCCAAGATTTCTTTCTTCCCAGAACAATGATATGTGCCTCTTTTTTTTTTTTTCATAGTTGGAGGGGTGAACGCCAACTTCATTCTGAGGCTAATGTTCCAAAACCTTAGTTTTCCCTTGTAACATAAGGAAGCAGCAGAAAGACTATACAGCTGAGGACAGAGGATAACGATAATGCCAGAGAACTGAGGTCAGCGGCCAGGCCATCATGTAGGAATAGAGAGCTGCTGGCACCCAGAACTGCATTTGGCATCCAGTAATGCTGTGAATTTCATAACTGCCCCTTGAAAGAACACGCTAGTGGGACGTGAGTTGAGAAATGCCCTACCTGTGTGCGGGGACAGCTCGTCCAGCAGCTTCACCATGCCTTCCCCCTGCTTGGAGGTCCACATCTTGATAGGCGATCCACCTCCGATCCTGCGGTACTGCTCCTGAATTTTGGGGGTTCGGCGTTTGGCGATGAATGGTCCCAGCTTACTAAATCATTGAACATCAAAATCATTTTATTCCAGCTTAAGCAACCTCAGAAACATTTTCTACTCAATTTTTTTTTAAAAAGCCAAAATTTAAGAAGAGCCTAATAAAATCAAGCCTTTAGAAGGCTTGATTAGAAGCTCAAGGTCACTGACGCCAGCCAGCTCCTTCGACACAGATTAGAGAGAGAGAACCTGACGGACTCCGGGGAGTAGCCTCCTCTGCCCCACAAGTGGCTCTAGCAGCAGGATCCCCACCATCCGTGCAGAGCCTGTGTGCCAGCCACTAACTTAACCCCCTTGATCCTGGACCTAAAAAGAACTGGGACAAATAAGACATTTGGCAGTGCACAGCCCTCTTAATTCAAGAAAATGCATATTAACCCCATAATATACTTGCCCACGTGAGCAAAGATGTATGGGCAAGCAAGCTCATTATTAACACTGAAGACAATCCAAGTGTCCATCAGTGAGGCACTGGTTAAATAAATGAAGGTATGACCATACCATGCAGGTCTATGTAGTCGTGAAAACAGAATAAGCAAGATCTATACCATCTGTTACAGAATAATCTCCAAGATACATTATTAGGTTTCAGAAAAAAATAGCAAAGTGACAAATAACATACATGAACCCATTCACATTTGTGTAAAAGGGGGGGGGGATTGTGTATGTGTGTGTGTATATTCTTGGATGTCCATGGACAATTTCTGACCTCATAGCACTTACCTCTGGGGTAGGTAAGTGGAAGGCTAGAGTCCAAGGGGAAAGAGGCACCCAGTTTTTACTGTAAATACTTTTTAACTGTTTGTATTTTTATCATATGCATGCACAACTTTTTTATTTAAAAACCTTATTTTAAAAAAAAAGGAAAGGGCTGCCCTGGTGGTTTAGTGGTAAATCCCACTGCCAATGCAGGAAACATGGGTTTAATCCCCAGGCCAGGAAGATCCCACATGTCACAGAGCAACGAAGCCTGTGCGCCACCACTACTGAGCCTGTGCTCTAGAACCCGGGAGCCGCAACTCCTGAGCCCACATTCCACAACTCCTGAAGCCCAAGGACCCTGGGGCCCATGCTCAGCAACAAGAGAAGCCACTGCAATGAGAAGCCTGCACACTGCAACTAGAAACGCTTGCTGCAACTACAGAAAAGCCTGTGCGGCAACAGAGACCCAGCACAGCCAAAAATAAATATGATTATTTTTAAAAGACAAAGAAAAAGGAGAGAAGGAAGAAGAGAAGAAAGAATGAAAGGAAGGGAAGAAGGACAGCAAGAATCCACCTTCACGATGCAAACGAATAACACTTATTGCTTCTCTGAGTGTCAGCCAGTTGTCAAGTACCAAGCACAAATCTATCTTCAAAGATCTTTAAAGGTCCTTCTGCAGTGTGTCCAGACCACCGCAATTTCTAGAGCTCTGGGGAGGAAAGGGCTCAGGGGGAAATCCGTACTGTCTGGCTGTCTCTCTCCCTTACAATTATTCTGATATCACAGCTTTCTCATAGCCAACAGAAAATAATAATGCTGCTCCAGCCCTAACCAATATGCACTAAAACCATTTTTTTTTTCTTTTGGAAACTACAGAAATGAGATCCAGGGAGGGCAAAATATACCTCACAGGTAACGAATAAGCACAGGCATCCACACGCATCTTACTTTTGGATAGGGAGTGTCATGAGGTCTTGATCCAAGAAGAGCCTCTGAAGGAAGTCTTGAACTTCTTCGACGGTTTCGGGGCCTCCCATGTTCAGCATCAATATTCCAGTCTTTGGCTTCCTGCATAAAACATAAGGTAACAGTGGGTTTGAAGTACTTCTTGTTTTCCTCTAGGGTAGACTCTAGGTCCAGCCGGCAGATTCTCACCTCGTCTGTCCAATGCAAAGACAAAAACATCGGATGGCAGGTCTCATCACGGCCATCGCAGTGAACGCAAGAGGCCGGGACCACTCAGTCCCCGCCCCGGTTCAGGCTCTGACCCTCACCTCCGAGCTCCACCCCGGCCCCGGGACGTACCTGGGTGCCCAGTGTTTCTCTATTAAATTGCCAGCTCTGAACAAAGACCCCGCTCTTTGGAGACTGAGGGTCAAGGTATACACCTAAAATTGTCCTGTTCACGAGACTGCCTCAGGACTACACAGGTTACCTGATCTCTCCAGGCTTAAGTCTCCTCGTCTGTAAAACAGAGGGCTCACCAGTTACCTCAGGAGGTTACTTGGAGGATTAAGCGGATAACGCACAGGGTCATTTAGCACGAGCCGGCACGTACGGTAGGTTCCATTCTACAAGAGGAGCCGTGGGCTTCTCTAGCATATTAAACCTCCACAGTAAACTAGTAGGCCAGCTCTCTCTCTAAATAAATACGCCCTTATTTATTCCCTTCTCTTTGGTTAACTATTATATTATTACTGACCTAAGTCATTTCCTGCTACTCCCTTCCTTCTCCATAGCCTGCCACGACTCCTTTTCAGCGCCTCCTGCTGTGATGAACTACATTTCTCACTTTCCCCTCACCTCTCCACCCTTCACCTGAAACCCAACTAACTCAAGCAACTCCTATGAAACACTGGTCTAAATTACTCAAGTAAGTTCTGAGCTAAAGAGTCAACTATTACTGAATGAGCAAAGAGAAACAAAAAAGGCAAGCAGCTTCTGGGAAATTTTGTAAAAAAGGACTGTGCAAAAATGTGATGTGTGCACAAGGTTAGGCACCCGTTACAGCTTTCTAATTCCTAAATATTTTTGTCACCCTCAAAAATCTCTCATACCCATCACTAGTCCCCATTCCCTCTGGCCCTCACCCCTGGCAACCTCTAATCTACTTATGGATTTTCCTGTTCATAGGAATAGAATCATTCCTGGCCTATTGGCCTAAATAATAATATATGTGGTTTTCTGTGTCTGGTTTTTCACTTAGCATAAAATTTGCAAGGTTCATTCATGCTGTAGCACGAATCAGTACTTCTTTCCTTTTTATGGCTGAATAGTATTCCATCATATGGATATCCTCTCTGCTCACTCTCAATAAAGTGACTGAGAAGTAAGCAGCCTCACATTTATTTAAAACGCCGTTATTACAAACGCTGAGGGGTCTACTTTCTCGGTCTCCTTCGCCAAAACCACCTCCAGCTAAAGCAGTGACTGGCGCAATCCTGCTGAGATGGCTCTCATTTGGAAGATTGCTCGTAAAGGGTTCTAAAGCTAATCATATCATGATGACAGTTTAATTGCAATTTTTTAAAAAGTATTAATCATATTTGGCAATCATTTTAGGCAATAGAGTGGGTCAAATTTATACAAGTGGAAACTGTTTTCTTGATCGAACACACTTTAGATGGATGAAGTAGATATCTGAATTTTCGGCCTAAATTTTCAAAATAAGAACCAATTCCTGGGGAAAGAGAAGAGCTGCATTACAACAAAGTCGAGGATTTTCTCAGTTAGACCCCACTCTACAGATTAACCAAGGTCACTTTTCCCGCCACTGTCTTAGGCCAGGGTTTCTTAACCTCGACCCTGCTAACGCTGGTAGCTGGGTAATCCTTTGTTATGGGGCTGACCTGTGTATTGTAGGAGGTTGAGTGGCTACCTTGGCCTCCAGTTACCAGACGGTAATAGCACACACCGCTCCCCCGCTGTGACAACCAAAACCGTCTCTAGCCAGTGCCAAATATGTCCCAGGGGACAAAAATACCCACTCCCCACCCTCTGTTCAGAACCACTATGTTAGAGAAAAGGGGTTTAATCTCCTTTTACCAAGCCAAACAACTACTTTGAAGTTACTGTTCCATAACTTCTCCACACCCTCTGACCAGAAGTCATATCAATGAATTAACAAACCTATGTTTAGTTTTCTTTTCTTGATACCTGAAAATTCCAGATTCATTATATTGTGAAACTGTAATATTCCCTTAATCTTTCTACTTAGGCCACTGGTGTTCTCCTGGGATTCTGTCTTTCACCCTCAAAAAGCTGTGACTCACAATAAATTAAGAGCATTTTTCTGTGGATTGCTGCCAGTTAACAGATTACTGGTTAAGAGATTTACCTAAGCCACAGAGGGTATCAATGTGCAAACGGGATTTAGAACTGTTTTTCATCTATAACACCTGAGCTCAGAACAAGAGTGGTTTTAAATGGGATGTTACTCTGTCCTGCAAAACCATGTTTTTGCAAACCATGTTGATCTTATACATGAAAGAGACACACGATGTGAAAACACCTAAATACGCATGCACTTAATTCAAAACTGTGCTGTGCATGATGAATGGAGCATTAGGAAGCCCTATTCCCAAACGTGAAGAGCAAAGCTTTAGTCAAGGGTCACCATCTCCTCTCCCCTCCAGACACAGCACATCTGAGACCAAGGTCTGATTGGCCAAGTTCCCTTTGTTTGAATGGAAAAGTGTTCACGGCAAACATATTCAAAGTTTCTCATTTGAAAAGTTTGCCACATTCTGCCATTTCTATTCTTGACTTCTCAAAATAGAAGGTTTTTCCTTTGAACTATTAATTGGACTAAACCAAAATTGAAGCTCATCAATTAATAAAGGAACAAAATAATTCTACTCTGCTGTATATAATCGGCATCAAGATTAAAAAAAAAAAAGTACAAATCCCAGCTCTTCATTAAATCCCCTAGATGTAATTGGCCAGAGGATCTATGCTGCTTCTAGAACAGGGTTTGGCAAACTCCAGTCCATTGGCCAAATTTGACCCCATGCCCCTTGACTGCTTTTGTAAATAAAGTTTTTTATTGGAATAGAGTTCCATTCATTTGTTCACATATCACCAGTGGCTGTTCTCACATTGCAATGGGAAAGGTGAACAGCAGTAAATAAGACCAAATGGCCTGTGAAGCCTGAAAAATCGCTCAGGGCTTTGCAGACAAATTTGTACTGTAGTATTGTCTAGTGTAGTCCGAGCACTAGGCAGCACAAGGCCTTCATCACATCTGGCATCAGAATGACTCGCAAAGACACCACTTCATTGTCGCCGTTCAGTTGCTAAGTAATGTCTGACTCTTTGAGACACCATGGACTACAGCACTCCCGGCTTCCCTGTCCTTCACAATCTCCTGGAGTTCGCTCAAATTCATGTCTATTGAGTCAGTGATGCCGTCCAACCATCTCACCCTTTGCCACCCCTTTCTCCTGCCTTCAATCTTTCCCAGCATCAGGGTCTTTTCCAGTGAGTCGTCTCTTCACATCAAGGGGCCAAAGTATTGGAGCTTCAGCTTCAGCGTCAGTCCTTCCAATGAATATTCAGGGTTGATTTCCTTTAGGATGGACTGGTTTGGTCTCCTTGAAGTCCAAGGGACTCTCAAGGGTCTTCTCCAACACTTCGAAAGCATCAATTCTTCAGCACTCAGCCTTCTTTATGGTCCAACTCTCACATCCGTACAGGACTACGCGAAAAACCATAGCTTTGACTATACGGACCTTTGTTGGCAAAGAGATGTCTCTGCTTCTTAATATGCTGTCTAGGTTGGTCACAGCTTTCCTTCTAAGGAGCAAGGGTCTTTTAATTTCATGGCAGCACTCACTTCATTATTTCTTTTTTTTTAAATGGTGACTTTTAAAAAACTAATTTATTTTTGGCTGTGCTGGGTCTTTGTTACTGAGCGCAGTCTTTCTCTAGCTGCTGAGAGTGGGGGCTCCTCTTCAGCTGGGGTGCACAGGCTTGTCACTGGCGGCCCCTCTGGCTGCGGAGCAGGGCTCCAGGCGCACGGGTTTCACTAGCTGTGGTGTGTGGGCTCAGTAGCTGTGGCACACGGGCTTAGCTGCAGCTCAGCATGTGAAATCTCCCCAGACCAGGGACTGAACCCGCGTCCCCTGCGTCAGCAGGAGGATTCTTAACTACCGGAGCACCAGAGGAGCTCCATCATCTCTTGTATTCAAATACCAGAAATAACCAATGCTCTATAACATGGATAAATCATGATTTAATGAAATACTCTTGAGTGAGTGAAAGTCGCTCAGTCATGTCTGACTCTTTGCGACCCCATGGCCTGTTAGCCAGCCAGGCTCCTCTGTCCATGGAATTCTCCAGGTCAGAATACTGGAGTGGGCAGCCATTGCCTTTTCCAAGGGATCTTCCCAACCTAGGGATCGAACCCAGGTCTCCCAATTGCAGGCTGATTCTTTACTATCTGAGGCACCAAGGAAGCCCAAGAATACTGGAGTGGGTAGCCCATCCCTTCTCCAGCAGATTTTCCCAACCCGGGAATCAAACCAAGGTGTCCTGTATTGCAGGCAGTTTCTTTACCAGCTGAGCTACCAGGAAATACTCTTAGGCTATTAAAATAATGTAAACTTTTAATTACTTATATTATTATATTATATTATTAAACATATTATTAAACAGTCATATTATTAAACAAAAACAGGAAGTTATAAAAATGTATGCAGCATTATCACATTTTGATAAATATATACTGAGTAAATATTAATAGATACAAGTATAGAGACAAAATACTGGGTGGTGAGGTTATCAGTTCTTTTTTTTTTCCTGTCTGTATTTTCCAAAATGAACTGATTTCTTTTCTATAATATGATATAAAGCTACTAGAATTTGGGAGTTTTTTTAGATTTTTTAATTCAATTTTAATCATTTAATCTTAAGGCTATTTATGTTGTTGACTTTGGCCACTAGGATAACATAGTAAAAAAATAATTTTTCTCCCAGGGTTCCACATCCAATCAGTTCTTCAGGTTACACCAAACCCTAAATATTTAAAACACTCTTTACTATGGCTGGGGTGAGCCAAAGAGGGGCAGGGCGCACAGAGGAATGGCTTCCTGCTGGGCCCGCCTCCAGGACACAGACTGCGTCTGTGCTTCCAGTCTTCCTCCCCACGAGTGCTCTTTTAGGAGACCCAAGAGCTAAAAGGAGTTGACTTGGGGCCCCACCCTGGTGCCTGATCCCCAACAAACCTCAGTTCACTGCAGATGCTCAATCATCATGCCCATGGTCACATGTGACGAAAAGTAACAAACACAAAATAAGACCATTTTATTTTCAGAGCTGTAGAACTCTGGCAGAACATCTGGTCTACCAGAAAGGTCAAGGCGTTAACGGCTCACGGCTACTTTCTTTCTCTCCTGCCCAGTGTTCAAGTGCACTACTCCATCTGCGTACCCGTCTAAAAAGCGCCCGTATAGTCTTCTAATGCCTCTGTCCCAGAGGGAGACTCGAAAACAGCTGTGGCTTCTGATATTGAAAAGGACACTCAGCAACGCCGGACCTGCTGACGTCCAGCCTGCAAACAGCAGAGGTGAGGGACGGGACGTGCTTTGTTCTTTGATAAACTGTAAATCCTATTATGTCGCTTATAATTATGTTCAATGGGTTTAACAGTTTACTACAGGAATTCGTGGTAGATATTCTTTTTCCTGCACAGGACATGTATTTCACAAGTGTACTTATGTTAGGTTCATCAACGTATTTCCAGCATACACATAATTTCTATTACATGACAGGTTCCAGAACTAAGTTCCCACCTCATTTGCAGACTGCATTCAATGCTGTGTCCTTTAACAAAAGCCCAGTGGAATTTTTATTTGCCAAGCAGATCCCAATGAAGCTGGGCAAAAAAATTTTAATTAAAAAAAAAATGGAAAAAATCTATCAAAATTCAAAACAACTTGTAAAGCCTTAATTGGAGGTGAAATCTATAGTTTAACAGCTTTTGAAAGGAAGCCAAGAAACTAACATACCGCTACTTACATACTGGCTTTTCCCAACACCTCTCCTCCTAGGTCGCTGGCATCCACTGGTATTTACGTCAGAAGAAAAGGAAATCCGTATTAGTGTGTAAAGTCGGACTCATACCTGTCCCCCGGCTGAGCCCGAGGCTTGGGGCTTCCGGCGCGCTGGGCGGTTTCCGTGGCGGCCGCCGCTGTGGCCGCACCCGACTGGCGCCTCCACGGCTGATGGGCCCTTGAGCCGCGGCACAGCACTGTGACAAAATTAAAGTGGCAGCATGAAATCTCGCTGGAAAGTAATTTCTTTTGAAGAGGCCCTCAGAGCATAATTCCCGGATTTACAATTTAAAGGGATGCTACAGCAGAGGCGATTTCCCCAGCATTTCTCTGCAGGTGGGTGAAGGCTCTTCAGCCCCGTCTGAGGGGATGGGGTGGTGGCCCCTGGGATGGCGCATCACAGTCGCCTGCACGGAACCTTCGCGGACGCCTCCTCTCCCGGCTTTGGCTGCCGGTTTTCTTATGATCCCTCAAGAGAATCACTGCATGTTATGATGGCAGCATGCTGCTCATGAAGGTAAGGAGCCGGCAGAAAAGGCTCAGACCACTGATTAAAGGAGTGGCGTGCATGCGTGCTAAGTTGCTTCAGTCGTGTCCAGCTCTTTGTGACCCCATGGACTGCAGCCCGCCAGGCTCCTCTGTCCATGGGAATCTCCAGGCAAAAACACCGGAGTGGGTTGCTGTGCCCTCTTCCGGGGGATCTTCCCGACCCAGGGGTCGAACTCGTGTCTCTTATGTCTCCTGCACTGGCAGGCGGGTTCTTTGCCATTAGCGCCACCTGGGAAGCTGGGCTAGTTTTCCCACACTGGCATAGATCTCATATCTACCTATGAGCCTTCTCATAGGTACTGGGTACCTCATAGGTGCAGCACTGGGACTGAGAACCCCAGGATTGAGCCTGCACTCTGACAAGCTGGGGGAATCCCTGTTTTCAAAGGTCAATTCTGGCCCTCCTCCTTCTCCACTCCGCTCCACGGGGTATGCCATCTGTACCGTCAAGGATTCATGGACTCCCAGAGCCCCCCCACCATTTCTGACCAGACTCCCAGTGCCCAGGACCCCAAATTCCCTGACTTCAAAGCCCCACTTCCAGGGTCTGCAGGCCTCTTTCCTGCATCCATCCTCCTGAGGGTGGACTGCACCATCAGTATAAGTCTTTCTTGACCTAAAGGGTAGCCAGCGGGTGGGTGGCTGCTTACGGGGTCAAGAGTGGAACTTGAACATGAACACTGGAGTAGGCACAAGAGTCTTCATCATGCCAGCAGGCCAGTCATGGAGAGAGAAGAAGGGAGGTCTGCCCACCAGAGGCAACTTGCTCAAGGCCCTGGCATTTACACAGCAACTGTGCAGAGCTCAAGAGTTCACCCTTCCAGCCATTAGCAAGGTCTATTCTATTTGTCAGCATAGCAGAACAGAACATAAAACAGTCCGCTCGCTGGCTGTATAGGGGTCTTGTCCTGAGCACCACAAGACTTAGTCGTGGGCCTGGAAAGCCCATCTGAGTGGAGGAGGGCACGGGCCATACCCCGTTGCGGCATGGAGCGTGTTCGTCCTTAAACAACACGGAGAGAAGTGAAAGGGAAGCCACGCAGAAGGTGCTGAAGCTGGCCGTGCGGGACAGTGGTTACTACTGTGGTTACCACACGGCATACACGTGACTTCCCCGCCCCGTTCTCAAACCAGCAGATCTCAAACCAACGTGAGAGCAATCTCCTTCTACCCGCCTCCCACTTATGAGTCAAAGGCGTTCTGGTGAGGGACTCGGGCTGTGGACCAGCAGGTGGGACTCTCGACAGTTCTGCCACTGACTCGTAACAGAACTGGGGCTGGCTTGTAAACTTTCTGACACTTACTTTCCTATACAGAAAAATGACGACACCCTGCTAATCCATAGCCCCCTGGTAAACATTACAGCAGGTAAGGCCAGTGGAGTATTTTGCACAACGCCTGCAGGTGGCCTTAGCGGTAAAGAATCTGCCTGCCAATGCAAGAGCCTTAAAGACACCTGGGTTTGATCCCTGGGTTGGGAAGATCTGCGGGAGAAGGCAGTGTCACCCCACTCCAGGATTCTTGCCTGAAAAACCTCACGGGCAGAGGAGCCTGGTGGGCTACAGTCCAGGGGGTCGCAAAGAGTCAGACATGACTGAGCGTGCATACATACATATAATTAGAGCCAGTATCATTTTCTTTCCTGTCTAGAGCATTGGGGCTACACCTGCTCCAATTTTTTTTTTTAATTTTAATCACTTGGCATGTCTATAAAACATAGGAGAATGTTATTTCCCGGCCAGTTAGATTTTCAGCTGTCCAGATTGTGCACACGCTCAGCAGAGCTAATAACGTGAGCTTGAGCCGAACAATCCCTAACTCTAAGCAGAAGTGCAAAGACTGAAATGAAGTGCAACCCCACTCAAACGAGGTCTCAAACCAACTCCCATCTTCTCGTTTTAGACAAGCCCAATTCTGATCTGCATGATGAGGCCTAAGCAGGCTCTCAATCAAGCCGCCATGTCCCCAGTTCCTTATACGAATGAGGTTATATCAGATTCTATGGGGTATCAGAATGGAAATTTGGCATTACACAATTCGACTTTTGGTACTATAATAAGATTTCCTCCTGCAAACTTTAAAAGGGGATGGGGTAGGGGTGGGCAAAAAGGATGAGAGTCTCCATCCAGTACATTAGTATTTCTTAGAACAATTTGGGAGCTGGGAGCTTTTTGAGCTGCTACACTATTGCCATGCCCTCTACTTATAAAATTCTCTTCTCTAAGGTGAAACACATTCTCAAAGAAGGGTGATGCTACTTAAAAAAAAAAAAAGGATCCTTTCTGCTCAGGACATAGGGTTAACACACCCACCTCTCAAGGACTTCTCTAAAACACTCTGATCAGAGTTCCTAGTGGTCCAGTAGTAAAGAATTCCCCTGGCAACCCAGGAGACACAGGTTCCATCCCTGGTTCGGGAAGATCCCACAGGCCTCGGGGCAACTAAGCCTGCGCACCACAGCTAGAGAGGAGCCCCCGCTCAGCACAACCAGAGAATGCCTACACACAGCAGTGAACACGCAGCACAGCCAAATATCAACCATCAATAACTTAAAGACAAATAAATAAAACAATCCTCTCCCCAATGATCTGAAGACTCTAGAAAAGCAGTGTCTCTCCTGCTTAACGGTCAGTATTCATCTATCTAAAGGAATTTGATTATTCAAAGAACAAAATGAGACTTCTGAATATACTCAGCTAACTGCTTAAGAGAAACTCGAAGGCACAGGAAGCATCATCTGGTGTAGAGAGTGTGTTCTGAGCCAGAGAGATCCAAGTAAAAATTCCAGACAGGACCAAACGAAGTTATGTGACAGTACTTGGGCAACTCACTGAGCTACTCCAAGCCTCACTTTTCTACATCTGTAAAACAGCAATGAGGCCAAACTTTCTGTTGTAATGATTAGGAAAATTTTTAGAAATCTATATCCAGCCTGAAAAACAGTGCCAGGCACAATGCAAGTAATTAAGCAAGAAATAAGAACACTTAGTAGTAAGGACTGGCGCACTCATAAACTAAGACCGGGTGATTTTAACCCTACTCTTGCCATGGACAACTGGTCTACCTTTGGAAGGCCTACAGACAATAAAAGCTATAAAACCAAGGGACACGCAGAAGAGAAGATGACATAAGAAAACAAAATGTCATCAATTCCTGGACACGCCAAATACATGAATCATTCAAAAGTACACCTGTGACTTAAGAAGTTCATGAGTATTAACTGGTCCCCCCAAACCACATTATTTAATATTTTGGATGCCTGGGGGTGGTATACAGGAGGGTAGAAAACAAGGTACACAAGTACCTCACTGCTCTTCTCTACCACATAGGAGATGAGCATTCTTTTAAGAGGTTCTTATAAATAAGTGTATCATTTTAAAAATTCACAGAAATAAGGTTCTATTTTATAACTACTAATAAGCATTTAAGGGAGGCTTTAAGAAAAGAATTATCTATCTGATATGGAGCCAAAGTGTTCTAATGTATTAAACACTGATACATATATATTTTTTTTAATTATTCTAGATTTGTTTTTTTCTAATTACAAAAGACATATATGCCTAACATAGAAAATCTGGAAAGGAAAAGGCACAGAGGAACAATAATTTTTCTATCAACTTTCTAAAATATACATATACTATATACATATGTACCAGGGAGCTTCTTCTTAATTCTGTGATACGCTGAAAGCACAGAATATAACACTTTGCTTTTCTACTTTGAGAATTCATTTTGAAAAATATTATTCAATTTTTCCTATCCCAGATGTTAATCCTTTCATATAAAACAATATAAAGTAGTATGAAAGTGAAAGTGAAAATGTTACTCAGTAGTCTCAGATTCTCTTGAGACCCCATGGACTATATAGCCCACCAGGTTCCTCTATCCATGGGACTCTCCAGGCAAGAATACTGGAGTGGGTTGCCATTCCCTTCTCCAGGGCATCTTCCCGACCTAGGGATTAAACCCAAGTGTCCTGTATTGCAGGAGATTCTTTACCATCTGAGCCACCAGGGAAAATCAGTCTGTAATTCAACTGAACTTCAAATTTATTTCTGCTGTGGCTTCTGAATCTTCCAGTTAGTTACTTATAACCTGGACAACAAAGCATTTAAAGATCCTCAAATTGTTCTATGACCTCAACTCTAGAGCCTGTCAGACTTTCTTTGCCACTGAAAAGGTCAATGAAAGAAAAGACTAATTTGACACATCTTTCAGCCCTGTTACTGGCACTGGGCTCCCTTTTCTTAAAAGATAATGTCTTTCATCTCCCACTGCCCTTACTGACCTGACCGTCATTGGACACTGGGTCCTAACAAAGGCACCTGTAATAACATATGGAGCTCAGAATGGACTCTCTCCACTCCTTCTCAGTAGGTGCCAGATTGACAAATTAGGGTACTTAAAAAAAAAAAAAAATCAGGTCTGGGTCCAATCACCATTCAAATGCACTAATCAAGCATCTTAGCAGGTGGCAGCCTTTTATGTAACAGTAACATTTTGAGGGTATCTATGTATCTACTGTGTGCCAGGCCCTGGGCTACAGGCTTTACCTGTAACCAGCTAATCTTCATGGCAAGCCTATGAGGTGTTACCTTCTCTGTGTCTTGCAAAGTGAATGCCTCACTCCGGGATGGGGATGAGGGGTGGGCAGAAATCGCAGGAATGCTGCAGAGCTAGCCAGCGTCCAGCCAGGTGTGTCTGACCAGGGTCCCATCGGCCCATCTTTTGGACCCATCCTGCATTCACCTCTGTGTCAGAAACCCGTGGTGTTCTCAGGGGGTCTTATTTATTCTCCAAATATCTAATTTGGGCTAGAAAACGATTCTCCAAATATCTAACCCTGGGCTAGTATTTTCTAGCCCCGGAGTAGGTCCTGCTGCCACGGACGAGTGAGCACCGGGTGTGCTGCCAGCGGCCAGGGCAGGGCAGCAGTGGGAAAAGTGTGATCTCCGCCACCAGGGAGGGAAGCCCAGGGAGGAGACCTCTGCTGATGCTCCTGACAACGATGCCCACGCTACTGTCTCTGTGGCTGGCCCTTAACGCACTCTGCCTCCCGTGATCACAACCATCCTGAGGCTCTCATTAGTCGTATTTTACAGATGAGATCCAAGACTGAGAAATTTCAGCCCCTGCTCACGGCCACCCACCTGACCCACAGGGCTCCGGAACCCCTCCCCGCGGCCGCTCAGGGTCCCCGGGTGACCCACGTTGCCCCCCTCTCGCTCCTCCCAGGGGAGGCCCCCTTTCCGATCCCTTTTCCGCCCCTCTGAGCCCCCCGCCGCCGGTCCGGGACGTTCCCCAGGCTCCTGGGCCCCGGCGTCCGCGGCCCGCTGTCCCCGCCTCGGCGGCTGCCGCCACGGCCCCACTTACGCCGATCGCGGAGCAGGACGCCCACAGATCGCAGGGCCGCAGCCATGTTTGCGCCGACTGAAAGCGCTCCCGGGGCGGGTTCGGCCCGGGACACGGGTTCCTCCGGCGGCAGCACAACCAAGAACCCGCCCCGCCAACCGCCTAGCCCGGGAGCCCAGCACCAACCAGCCACACCGCCCCACCGTGCGGCCACGCCCCGCTCCCTGCTGCGCGCCCTCTCATTGGCTGGCTGGTGGGGCGTGGTCGGAGGGCGGGACCCGGCGGAGACACGCCCCTCGCTGGCAGCCCGCCCCTCTGCCCGGCGGTTCCCAAAGCAAGGCCCCTTGCCTGCTAAGTCGCTTTAGCCGTGTCCGACCTTTTCTGACCCCATGGACCGTAGCCTACCAGGCTCCTCAGTCCATGGGTTTCTCCAGGCAAGAATACTGGAGTGGGTTGCTATGCCCTCCTCCAGGGTATCTTCCTGACCCAAGGATCGAACCCATTCCTCTTGACATTTCCATTACAATTAGTTACATAGGACAATGCTTTTGCCTCAATGCTCCAGTTTTGTTGCCTGGTTGAAGCACAACTGTGCAGCCCCTGTTTTATTTTGCTTTGAGAAAAGAAATTATTTTATGTCAGACCCTCATGACATAATTATTAAGCCCCTCTGTAGCATCTCTATGCAGCAGAGTTTGACAGCTGGGACCATAGAGCAAACCTTATGCTGCTAACGTAAGAGCTTTAGGAAAAGTGAAGGCCAGTCCAGCAAATGCATTTCTTTGGAGGGCGGGGACGGTGAGGTTCGTCAGTATCATGTCTGCTCACCTTTGCAAGGTGACCGCCAGGCCCCAAACCTACCCACGAAAGAGGTGCCCCCTTCATTTCTAGCCCTCCCTACATTCCCACACCTCTGCCTGCCCTTCCAGTTCTTGCCTTCCAAGTAAGTACATCTCCAAGTACAAGATCAACCTTTGGAACAGAAAGGTGTCAGACACCGTTCTTTCATTCACTGAACAAGCATTGAGCACCTGCTGTGTGCACTGGGGAAACAGCTGTGAACAGAGCAGACAAGGGTCTCACATGGGGATGTCGGGGAAAGACAGAAAACCATCACAGTATGTAGTGTTTGGGGTAACGATGAGGGTTAGAAAGAATGAAGGGAGATGGGGAGGGGAGTCTAGTGCAATTGAAACAGATGGTCAGAGAAGTCCTCACTGACACTTAGGCAGAGACCTGAAGGAGTAAGGAGGCAAGCCATGTGGAGCATTCCAAGAAGATGGAGTCTAGATTGAGTGGAAAACCAGTTTTCCGTAGCTAAAATGTATGCTTTTGATTAATTAGTTTATTATTAAAGATAGTCCTCTTTATGGTTATAAGCTCTGTAAAATGTCAAATGGATTGCCTTTCATACTATGTACATAATATTTGAATCAAGCAGCAGATGTTTGCTGAGAAGTGGACACTGCTTTCCTATATGTTTTGCTAACTTTCCATTCTTAGGACAAAAATTATAAGTTTAGTTTGCCCTTTTGGAGAAGGAAATGACAACTCACTCCAGTATTCTTGCCTGAAGAATTTCATGGACAGAGGAGTCTGGCGGGCTGTAGTCCATGGGATCACAAAGAGTTGGACATGACTGAGCGACTAACATACTTTAGTTTGCCCTTTAAAGAGGTGATCTTGGACTTCCTTGGTGGTCCAGTGGCTAAGACTCCACTTTCCCAATGCAGGGGGCCTGGGTTTGATCCCTGGTCAAGGAATTAGATCCCACATGCTTCAACTAAAGATCCTGCATGCTCCAATGAAGACTGAAGATCTTGCATTCTGCAACTAAGACTCAGCACAAACAAGTATTAATAAATAAGTAAATGTTTTTAAACATTTTTTAAAAATTGAAAGGTAGTCTTTGTAGATAATATACTCTTCTACCTAAAGTCTAAACCTATTGCTTTTAAATCAACTACACAAAAAGTCTCTACATTTTGAAATGCTGTGCTGGAGAAAGTATGGACAAGGTCAGAGCGCTAGAAAAGTTCAAGGGTTTTTAACAGCTGAGCGGTGTGGGCTCTTCTTGGCCGCTTCTGGGAGGCTCTGGATAAGTCACCTCTCCATTCCTGGTGCTGGGCCCCACCTGCTCAGTGAAGATAAGGAGGGTCTTCTGGCCCCTCCCAGGGAAATGCCGATGATTAGTGACAAGGCATAAAGGTGCCAAATCTCACATAATCAACATTGGGCTGAGTTTAATTTGTATCTGGCCAGAAACAAGAAAGGAGTTACCAAAACATGCTTTATTGAGTGTATCAACATAATAACATTAAAAAAAAAAAAGGAATTAGCACCATTTCATACATTTTCCTCACATCCTGTATTTTCATTTTTACTGACTTTTAAAACAACTCATTCAAAATTATGTTCATGTATAAAATGCCCTGATACACATATTAAGACTCATAGGTTACAAATGGAAACAGAACTTTATTATTTTTCCCCAAAGAGAGCTTCATGACATTTGTTATTTCTAATCTGTAGCTTGTTTCTTACAAACATCAAATATAACAGCTTTTCAATGAGTAAATTTTTATGATCTTTTGAATGAAAGCAGATAAAATAAGCTTTGTATGTGTCCTTTCCAAAACTGATTGGAAAATACAGCCCTTACATCAGAAACTGTGAATTCTAAATATGGGTTTACTAAGAAATCCAGATCTTTGAAAGGCTAAATGAACTTATAAAACTATATGATATTTTTATATATTAGGCATGTATATGTTTATACATATATTTACACATATGTATGAATATATAAATGCATTTTTCTGGTTTAAATATCTGTAGCAAAATAATGACCACTTTCCTTAACAAACAGGAGGCACAGTCTCTGGGCCAGCTCAGATAAGCGGCACTCCCATCACATAGGAGAGAGGGTTTGTCTGAGCTCCGGTGACTTAATTAGTGAAGAAAGAATTCTCTTGTCACGGTCAACACTCAGAGTTCAGCCTGTGGTCCTAAATAAAATGCATTTGTTGGTTTCAGCTCAGCGCTTCAATGCAGAAGGAGGCGGGAGGAGATCCCCTCATTCATTATTTGCCATGATTGGCACCTCCAGGCTGCACAGACTAAATTTAGACTACTCAATTCTGTCTCCTTAATCAGAAAAACAACAGCGCGAGGGAGGGATGCTGTTGAGTGTAGGGAGAAAGAGTGGCTTCATGAGGCAGACAAATGGTGAGCTATAATAATTGCTCAGGGAAGTCTGATCAATGGTCCCCACGACTGTTTTCCAGCAAAGAGGCCACCCAAGTCTAGGCCAATGGAATGTGCGTTCTGACTGCCCCCTTAACCACACAGAGCCTCAGTATTAAGCCCACTAGTGGTGATGGGTTTATTAGTTCATCTGCACATTTTGGTGGAGCGTCTACTGTGAGCCAAGCACTGTAGCAGGTACTGTGAAGGACAGCAAGTAAACTGCACCCTCAGCGTTGACATATACACGACCACGGGTGGGGTGGGCCGCACCCTCAGCGTTGACATATACACGACCACGGGTGGGGTGGGCCGCACCCTCAGCGTTGACATATACACGACCACGGGGGGTGGGCCGCACCCTCAGCGTTGACATATACACGGGTGGGGTGGGCCGCTGGCGGGGGCTGCTGCGTGGCACAGTGCGCTCAGCTCGGTGCGCTCTGATGACCTGGAGGGCCGGAACTGGGGGTGGGGTGGGAGGGAGGCTCAAGTGAGAGCATGCACATGTATATACACACGTGTGTGTGAGCGCTAAGTCGCTTCAGTCGTGTCCCACTCTTTGCGACCCCATGGACTATAGCCCGCCAGGCTCCTCTGTCCATGGGGTTCTCCAGGCAAGAACACTGGAGTGGGTTGCCATGCCCTCCTCCAGGGGATCTTCCCGACCCAGGGATCGAACCCAGGTCTCTTATGTCTCCTGCATTGGCAGATGGGCTCTTTACCACTAGCGCCACCTGGGAAACCCAGATATGTATATTACATATCGCTGATTCACACTGCTATACAGTAGAAGGGAACACACCATTGTAAACCAGTTATACTCCAATTTTTAAAAAAAATTTAAAAAAGGAAACTGTACTCCCAAGTAGCTTATTCATTTATGAAAGAAACATGTATAGAGGGCCTACTACCTATGTCAGGCACATGTTGGAAACAGCAATGAATTGGACTATCTCTACTTTCATGCAACTTACATTCTAGAAGGCAAGGCAGACAATAAACAAAAGATACATGCCACAATGTCTGCTATGACTAGGAACCGTGAGGAAAAATAATAAAGGGCGTGAAGAAATGGAGAGAGGCAGGAGCTGTTCTTTTTGGGGGTGCTGTGGGACAGCAAGGTCTCTTGTCAGTGTATCTCTTTCCCATGACCATCTTTCCTCTAGAAGGACACCACTCATAAAACACAGTCCAGTATTCTTGCTGGAAAATCCCATGGACAGAGGAACCTGGCGGGCTACAGTCCACAGGGTCGCAAAGAGTCAGTCATGACCCAGCAAGTAAACCACCACCACCGTATTGGACAAAGAGCCCACCCGGCTGACCTCATCTGAATTTGGCTACACTTGCAAAGAACCTCTTGTTAAATAAAGTCACATTTCCTAGTACCAGAGGGGAGGATTTTAATATACAGAGGAAGGGGGTAATTTTTGGGAGGCGGGGGACACAGTTCACCCTGTAAGAAGGCCTTGAGGGACAGTAACGGAAACTGCATGTCTTGAGCAGAGTTTGTGGGGTGGAGGGCAAGGAATTTTGGCTGATTAGGAGATGAAAGACTTCATCTTTTGAACAGATCTCCCTCTAACAGTGATCCATGCTTTGAGTGCAAAACATTCACTTTGCCTGCAGTGTAGAGAGAAAAGTAGGGCTCTTATGCCAGTTTTAAGGCATGTATCAGATGACTAAGTTCATTTCCTCCATGGGGTTCTAATTTTTATTTATTTATTTGAGATCATATTGGGCAAGAGTGTTTTTCTCTGAGAGATCACTGTCCCCGGGGCGGTGGGAGGGTCCCTCCACCCCTTCTGGCCTGCCTCTGCCAGGATCCCAGGGTTCCACAAGTCTTAGATGTGGCTTGTGTTTATTTCTTGGCTTGGCAGTCCTGCTCCTTACAGGTACATTCAAACCAAGGAAGCTGACTTTTTCCAGCAAAAGCTGTCATTCTCTGTCAAGAGCCCTGGGCAGGCAGCGGTCTTCCTTATCTATCTGTGCTCTACGGGGCTAGTTCTCTAGATTTCACAGAAAGGCCAGCCTTCCAAGGGCCCCCTTCATGCAGGGATGGGTCTAGCCCTTCCTCCACTGTCCTGTCTGGGTGTGGTGTGGGCATTCTAGAAGCTGCATATATGATGTGTTCACTTTGTGAAAATTCATGGTGTTGCACACTTATATGTGTGCCCCTTTCTTGTATATTTTAGTGAAGTGAAAGTCGCTCAGTCCTGTCCAGCTCATTGCGACCTCATGGACTATAGAGCCCGTAGAATTCTCCAGGCCAGAATACTGGAGTGGGTAGCCTTTCCCTTCTCCAGGGGATCTTCCCAACCCAGAGATCGCACCCAGGTCTGCCACACTGCAGGTGGATTCTTTACCAGCTGAACAACTGGGGAAGCCCACAAGAAGTGTAGGCTGGTTATATACTGAATGTGGGCAGACACCCTGGAGGCAGAAGGGCACATGATAACTAGGGCAAGGCATTCACTGGGCCACTGCACAGGGTCTGGGAAGGACTCAGAGATAAGGGTGGGGAGAGACGGCTGAGGACTGAGCCCGAACGTGCTGAGAACTTGGACATCTGTTGGTAGGTGAACGGGATCACGGGTGGACAGGACAGTCACAGGGAAGAGGAGCCTGTCCAGTGCGGTGCTGTGAGGAAGAGGATTGAGCAAGCAGGGTCCGGACGAGAAGAGAGGAGAGGCAGGGGGAGCCAACAGGAGCCAGCGGCTATGGTTTCCAAGAGCCGTGCTGAGTGGCGTGGCCAGCGGAAGTGAAGGACAGCTCTCGATGGCGCACTGGAGACCAAAGGGAGGGCAGAGTCAGCTTGTTCAAGGGCATCAGCAGTGGTGAGGCCAAAAAGGAGAAACACTTTGGTCAGCAGGAGAGCTGGTCTGGGGCGAAGATGAGTGCACTCTTATTGTGGTTGTTTTCATATTGTCTGTTTGTGCCTGAGTATGGTTCACATTGCAGGAAGGACAAACAGGTACAGCCATCCAACAGAAAGTTGCAGTGGTCATCTACATAGAAAAAAGGATTGAAACTGACCATTCACTCGTTTTTCTTACAGAGCAATTTACAGTGAATTCATCCCTCTCCTTGCTGATCTCCTAATAGCTGATAATTGAGTTTTTTCACTTTCGCTGTGCCCTTTTGATTTATCTTCAACTTCAGAGTGAAACCCTTTGGGTATAAAGATGGGGGCTGGAACATACGGATGTAATTTCACTCCTTCCCTAAAACCCCACTAAGATGTCAAGAGGTTTTGCTATTGGTGGTGGTGGTGATGGTGTGTTTTGTTTGCTTCCAAGCATAAACCTAAAAGGCTGGGGAGAAAAGAAAAAGGAACCATGGCAATAAATTTTGGGAGCTGGAAGGCAGATGGATAAATGGTTAATGATTTAGCAAACTGAAAAAAACTGAATCTAAAGATGGCCAACCTAAGACAAGAACCATCCAGATTTACATGATAGAGCCCCTAGGAGGTTCCAGGTTGGCAGCAGCAGGTACCCCTGAAGTGGGGATGAGAGAGAGAGATGCTAGACTGAGACAGATTCAGGGAACTAGACTCTTCCCCCTCCACCCCTTTCCCTCCATAGGTGATAGGAAGAGTCTGCAATCCAACCAGCGCAAGAGGAGAGATCCGAGGATGTTGACATCAGGACTCACACCCAACAGCTGAGGCAGCTCACCCGACGGGAGGGCTCATATCTTTTCTGACAGACTTTAAAAGCATTTTACCTCCTATTTGGAATTCTCAGTAGAAAAACAAGCATCACTTGACTTCTGAGAAAAGCCTCCAGGACAACAACATCTTTGTCAGCAGGGACTGGTTTTGCAGAAAACAATTTTTCCATGGACCTGGGGTGGGGGGTGGCGGAAGGTTTGGGGATGACTCAAGAGCAGTGATGAGGAGTGGCTGTAAATACAGATGAAGTAAATACAGATGAAGATGAAATACTCACTCCCCTGCCACTCACATCCTGCTGTGTGGCCCGGCTCCTATCAGGCCACGGACTGGTACCAGTCCACGGCCCAGGGGCTGGGGACCCCTGCTCTAAGAGGAGAGACAGAGACCCGAACACACAGAAGAAAACATGGAGGAAACGGGGATGATACAGGAAGAAGAAAACCTGGATAAAAGACCATAAAGATGGAACTTGCTGAGACCAGAGTAAAAAAAACAAATTTTTAATATTTTACTATGCTAACAGAGACGAAAAACTCAATAGAAGGATTGGGGAAAAGTTGAAGAAAACCTTCAGAAAATAGCAAGCAAAAAGGAAAAAATACAAGATAAAAGGATTTAAATGAGGTCTATTACCTGAATAATGGCAGTTATAGAAAAAAAAAAAAGAGGGAACACTTTCTAAAAAACAATTGAAACTTTTTCACAATGGAAAGCCATGACTTTCCAAATTTAAAAAGCCTATCAACTGCCCATGGGAGAACAGACCCAAGAAATGTCATCATATTTCAGAACATGGGGACAAACTTCTAGAACAGACAGGTCTTATGTAAAAGACCAAGGATAAGAATGATTGGGAATTTCTCCACAGCAACACTGGAAACTAGAGTGGTAAAACTGAAAGCCAGGGTTGCAAAATCCTGAGGGAAAAATGCTTTCTAATCCACAATTTTATACGGAGACTATTCCAGACTCATGGAGTCTGTCTCCTGCATTGGCAGGCGGATTCTTTACCACTAGCACCACCTGGGAAGCCTATAGCATGCATGCATGGTTTAAGTGTGAAGATAAGTTAAAAACATTTTTGAGATAGACAAGTTCTCAGTGAACTGACCTTTCATGCACCCTTTCTCAGGAAATTACTGGAGGATGTGCTTCATCAATATGAGGAAGTAACCCGAGAAACAGGGAAACAGGAAACAGGATGTCCAAGAGAGAAGGGGCTTCTCTGGGTGGCAGTGAAAGACCCCAGGATGAGCTACGTTTCAAGATTCGAGTGAGGCTGGTTCAGACTACAACAGACAAGCTCTAAGAGAAGCTTCTGATGAGCCCCTGATGTGTCTAGGTACCTTTGGGGATTGAATTCATGATGAAAAATAAGATGACCATTCATTATATGTTAGTCGCTCAGTCGTATCCGACTCTGTGATCCCATGGACTGTATAGCCTGCCAGGCTCCTCCATCCATGGGACTTTCCAGGCAAGAATGCTGGAGCGGGTTGCCATTTCATTCTCCAGGGGATCTTCCCAACCCAGGGATCAAACCTGGGTCTCCCGCACTGCAGGCAGACTCTTTACCATCTGAGCCACCAGGAAAGCCCGACTGTTCATTATGGGGGAAAAGTTGGCCAGGAAAGCATTAGTAATATACAACATGGTCAACCAAAGTAATGATTTTGCTAAGCTGGAAGAGCCGAGAGATGAGAAGGGGGCGCATGAATGGTGGGACAGGGAAAGGAAGAAGCAAAATCTTCCTGGAGGAGCAGGAGAGAACGTCTAAACCTGAAAAATAGAGACCTGTTCTTTTTAGTAACATGGAGGTAAATGCCTGAAGCTGCTAAAGCTTTTGAACATCTCCACTTCTGTGAGCTGGAATACTAAATTGGATCAAATACAAACTCAACTTTGATGCCAGAAACCATAATCTTTGAACTGCAGAGTATACCAATATTTTTTCAGAGATGATACTCTTCACATAATGATCAGTACCAATCCAGGAGGTAGAAGGAAACCTTTCAGCATAAGAAACTGAATCATTTAATTGGCCGGCAATTACCAACTACGACTGGAGAATGAAATAGTAACCCACGCCAGCATTCTGGCCTGGAGAAGCCCATGGACAGGAGAGCCTGGCGGGCTACAGTCCATGGGGTCGCAAAGAGTTGGACAAGATGGAGCAGTCAGAGCAGAGCACGCCAAATACTATGAACCACAGCATTTGTACTGAGTAACGTCTTTTTTCCTTAGAAGGACTGAATGAAATAATAATCCTAAGTTTAAAGTCATTCAAACTTTGGAGTTTAAACTTCTGTCACTTTTAACCATGCATCTTCAGGAATGATTTTTAACCTTTCTCAGCCATTATCTCAGGAATAAGTGCTATTTTTTATTAGAGGGCTATAACATTTATATACTGTATAAACATAATTTATATGAATTATCACAGGCTATTGTGAGGGTTAAGGCATGTGACAGTATATGGCTGACACAAAGCAGTACTCCATTATTTTGAGAATTTCCCAGTATGACTTGAAAGCTAATGAGTACACAGGTATAGTGTTTTTGTGGCTATTGGTCAATATTGAACAGTCTCAGCCTTACCCCAGTGTTCCCATTGCAACCCTGAGGCTGGGAACACTCTCAAGAGATGAATGTGAAATAATGAGGACCTACAGTGATGATGAGAGGCTTCAGGTTGGCTTTAGAAGTGGGAGGTAGCTACTTGGTGACAGTCAACCTAACTCTGCCACAGCCTCACCTGCTTGAGCTTTCAAAAATATGCTGGGACTTTCTTGGTGGTCCAGTGGCTAAGACTCCATGCTCTTAAGGTGGGGGGGCGGGGGGCAGGTTCAATTCCTGGTTGGGGAACTAGATCCCACATGCCACAACTAAGACTCAGCACAGCCAAATAAATAAAAAAAAATAAATATAAAAAAAAAAAATTCCTGGGTCCATCCCTCAAATTCAAATTCTACTGGTCTGGGATGAGGCCCGAGCACCATTATGGTTACAGTCCCAAGTGACCTCCATGTGTAGAAGGTTGCTTTTGATAGTTGTATTACTCTACACTTAACAAGAAATTTTGGGGACTTCCCTGGTGGTCCAGTGGCTAAGACTCCCTGCTCCCAACACAGGGGCTCAGGCTTGACCCCTGGTCAGGGAACTAGATCCCACACGCCACAACAAAGGTCGGCGATTCCACGGGTCACAACTAACACCTGGGACAGCCACATAAATAAACAGGAAATTTTTAGAAAATGCTAAAGGCAGCCAGATGGGAGGAGTCAGGTGGCCAGAAATGGCTGCAGGACATTGACAAAAACGGAGAGTTGTTAGTATGCGGTTGGCTGAAAAGTTTGTTCCGGTTTTTCCATGAGATGGTACAGAAAAACCTGAATAACCTTTTTGGCAAACCCAATACTGAAGTTATTTGAATCTCTGTGATTAACCTCCCACCTGTCTCCAAAACTTTCAACAGGTCAGCTACACAAGTACCCAAGGTGCATGGCGTTGATGGTGTGAGAATCACACAACAGGAAGAGGTTATGGGCAGGCAAGATGAGTTCCACCAGAGCAGGAACTCAGAACCCGGGTGTCTGTGAGGTGGATGCTTGGCGGGGACGTGCTGGGGTGTGCCGCTCGGGTCACAGTGACAACCAGAGCGAAGGGAACGTAAGCCCACGTGCCTAAGGTCTGCTGCTTGGATTCCTGGTTTGATGTCACCTTGACTCCCTTATCTCCCCCTAGCCCCACTGCTTTCCCTCAGTATTTAAGATGCTTGACCAATTTATACAATTAAAATGTATGAGTCTAATCTCCTCACCTAAATTCTGATCAAGTGAATTGCCAAGTTGAATCCAATTAGAGCTCTTTCACATTCTAACCAGTGTTTTTTATTTAAAAGATAGAAGCCAAATATACTACAAACGCCCCCATTTCCATCTGTCATTCACTTAACTGCAAAATAAGATACACTCTAATGTGTCCAGAAACACACAAAGATTATAAAAGTGATGTAACTAGGACCCACATGTAATTTTAAAAACACCTTCCTTTTTCTTACCATGTATTTAGTAATACCTACTAAATTCAGTAATATCTAATTTCACATATACAAATCATGAAAAATATTTTTAAAATATAGAAGGCACGAATTAATGTGAAACAGAGACATTCAGTAAGTCGGCAAAGAGTTTTTATGTGTGTCCATTTATTGATTGCTGGGAATACAGCTTATTGAGAATACACTGACATGCATTTGAGGGGAGAAATTAACCAAACCTGAAAGGAAGCCGTTCAATAAGCCTGAGAGTTAATAAGGTAAGAGAGATTAGATCTAAAGACACAGCGTGGGGGGTGACTCCAACAACCACGGAGGGCTGTCCTTAAGATGCCAGCTACAAACACTTCGGGAACTTCTGTTCTGAACTACTCTGGAACTATCAGGATAGAGAGACGATCACCCTGCCTCTTTAGTTTAAACTAATGCAAGAAAGAAAGCTGCTCACTGATGTGCCACAAAACAAAAAACTTGCTGTCACTTCGAACTGTTCAAGGCAATTCCATTTTTACAAATTCTTCCACACCAATTTGTATGCTTTAGAGTTATACGCAGCTATGAGATTTGGAAAAGATTCACAACTGATGCAAAAGACTGTAGTCATATTATTCCCATATCTGCTGATTTATGCTCTGTTCTAATACTAGCAGATTTTTACAGCATATTGTCAATTTTTCCCCAAGGTGTTGAACTCATTGATACAATAAAGTGATATAAATTAAAAGAATTCCAGTTACACTCAAAAGGACAGAGATTAAATTACTGGAATGTCTCAGATCATAATTTAAAATTATTTAATGATATATGTGGTACATACGACATAAAGATCACAACCTGAAGCTGGATAAAGCGCTGAGACATACTCCTAACTGCAGAGTTACATGCCAGAGTTTCTCCCAAACTTTTTAACGGGTATTTTTTTCTTAAAGTGATAACGTCGATGTTACTTGATGTTCAAAATGTGCTGAACTGCCTTCTGTGGTAGCAGGAATAAAAAAGAGAAAACAGAAACGGACGTACCCCAGTGAAATAAACAAAGGCGGGGGGAAGATTTTGGTCTTTGTGTTTAAGAGGCAGGCTATTCCTCCCACGCACCGTGCTCTTTCCTTAAAGCTCTGGGTGCCAGGGGCAGAGCGGGGATCCGGTCACGGCTTGCAGCGCTGGACAAACCGAGGGTACAAGCACACATCTCGGATGTGGTATCTGTCCAGAATCCAGGTCAAGAATCGTTCCAAGCCCAGGCCATAGCCACCATGTGGACACGTGCCATACTTTCTCTGTTAGAAAGAGAGACAGAGGAGTAAAGACTTACTTTACAATTTTGTCTAAAACAGTGAAAGTTTTCTGCTGTAAAATGAGTCAGCTTACAGTGGTTAAGGGATAACCCTTGGACTTCCCTGGGAATCCAGTGGTTAAGAATCTGCCTGCCAATGCTGGGTACACGGGTTTGATCCCTGGTCAGAGAAGATCCCACGCGCTCAGGAGCAGCTAAGCCCGCGCTCCATGACAAGAGATGCCACCGCAATGAGCAGCCTGTGCTCCACAACAAAGACCCAGCGCAGTCAAAAATAAACAAGGAATTCAACCCTTAAGCTACACTCCTTCATGGACCACATGGGAAAAAATATTTTGATATGAAAAATAAACCAGGGATTTAACACCCTAGAAAGAAGGGATTTCACACTTCAAATTAAGCTAATGTCTGTTTATCAGAAGAAAAGGAACGACTAGATATTAGTAGGATCTAATGACACATTTTTAAAAACTCAATAGCAACGAGTGAGGCCAGCAGTTAACAGGTTTTCAAATTAAGTTAACATGTTAGTGGCCAAAGACAAAACCCGCAATACTCACATCCCACACCATTAAAACCGCGAGACTGAACACAGCTCATTCACACGCTAACATCCCGCCTGAATTCTCCCCTTCTGACCATTTCAATACACACAGAACTATCATGCTGAAAAAGCACCGAAGGGTTTATTTAATAAAACAGTTTTTACCTGGTCCGTGTACCAGTAATAGGGGGTAGGGTCAATCCCTTCTCTTTTGTAACCTGCCAGGATCTCTTCATTATCCCAGATACGCATGGAGCCACCCACGATCTCACCAACGTTGGGCATCAACACGTCGACCTTTCAGAATGAGCAAATAAAACAGTCTGACTTGCTGTGTTCTGACTGAGACCAGGCCCTCAGTCACGGCGCTGCTCTAGAGTTTGAACGGAAATCACTAAGAGCGTCTGATGATCGTGCCAAACTCAAATAGGACTCAAATGCTATAATTCAACGAGGCGGGTTAAACACAGTAAGAGGGCAGGAAACACTTCTTGAAATGTTGGAAGATTTATAAAAAAATATTTGCTGTGAGCTGCATCTTATTCCAGTGGCCCCGCTCAGCGCCCACCCCCCCACCCCCTCACCATCCCTCTATACCCTTCAAAAGTAAAACCACTATCTGAACCCTAGACTAACAGATTCGGTGAGGCGGGGGTCCTCGGGACAGCGCTGCATGTAGAAGGACTTGATCTCCACAGGAAAGCGACACAGCAGGATGGGCTCGTTGATAGTGTCTGTCATAAGCCTCTCCGGAGCTTCCGGGATGTCCTGAGGTTAGACAGGGGCTTCATGAACATCAACACCTCCAAAGGCGCCCTGGCAGAAGCAGCTCTCTGATCCAGTGGCAGTCCATCATCTTACTCACCCAACAGAGCCCAGAACACACGTCCACCCATAACCCGTGACCATGCGGATATAAGGGACCATCTCTGTAAGCAGATCTGCCTCTTCCTACATTACACCTGGGCCACGTAGCACAAGGAATGAAAACACACAAAGACACACACGGTGGGGGCGGGGGGGGGGGGGTGATATACTGCTCCATTATCCCTTTCCAGTGGCCAGTTTTATCTGGGTCTGAAGCAAACGCAGTTCACCCAGTCCCATAAGGTGTAGGATAATCAGCAGATGCTTCACAACATCATTGATCTACACACACACACCATGTTATTAATAACACCAATCTTTAACCTCCCCTGTTATCTCCGCTCCTTTCCTGTTATAATAAATCTGCATGCCTTCAACGGTCCTAAGACACAGCTGTAAGACAAATAACCAGTGTCGAATTTATAAGTGTAACCACACCTTGAGCAGTTAGCCAAGAGAGGTTAGATGATGATGAATCAAGTTAATCTGTTTTCCGCTCACGTATCCTTCAGTAAACCACACATAAATTCAAGTTCAAACTGGAAAAAACTCGTCCCGGTAAAAACTGATTGGAGAGAATGGGGCAAGACTGACTGACTTAAGGTTAAGAACTGAGGGAGCTCCCCCATCACCGGGCACAGTGGTTTGCAAGCTCTCCCTGGAGCCCTTCGCCCTCTACAGTCCAGAGAGGAAAAGGGAGGTAAGCTCTCTAGGTACTAGAGTCATGAGTACAACTTAACTGCGGGAAAAGGGTCTCCCTGCACGTCCCAGGGTCTGAAGACCTCTGCTCTATCCTAGCTGACACGGAGAGGAAATGCTGACAGGCTTGGAGGGCTGCCTGCTGGGCACTGAGTTCAGTACGTCTTCTGACTTTGCAAGCGGACGTCACCTCCAAGGCAGAGACGGGATCAGACAGCGGGGTCACTAGCTTCTTGCTCAGCAGCAAGGACAGAGGTAGGACTGAAGCCTGGGGGGCTCACGTTCTTTCCACTCAACCCCACCACCTTGCGGTACTAGGTGGTGACAGCACTCAGGTTTTCAGCACAGAATCTGGTTTTACACAAGGTCAACTGAATTCATGAAACAAAGTAATTTATATAAGCCTAGTACACTGTCCTCTCTCTGTGATTTCTTTCTAAAAATGAAACAAAAATCACACATTTCATTTGTAAAACAGATTTGCAAATACTATGTAAGGAGTGGTTAAATGCACAAGGAAGAGGGTTTGGAAGAGTGTTAATAACCTATTCCCACAGACAGTGCTGGGAAGGTGGTCCTGGGCAAGACAGACATGCTCAGTGTATCTGCGGCACTGGGCCACCTTCCCCATCAAAGCCTTCTCTCCTGGTTTTACATTTTAAGCAGTGGCTATTTTCTTCTCTGAACCTCCTCCATACGAAGGAGTTTTAATTTACTGTTTGGGGGGAAGAAAATATTCTTGCCTGGGAAATCCCATGGACAGAGGAGCCTGTGGGCTATGATCCATGAGGAAGCACAGAGTCAGACATGACTGAGTAACTAACACTTTCACTCTTCATCCTTTTTTGAAAGTCAGTTACTTTCTCCAGAAAACCAAAACACACACACACACGTGGCAACACTTTGCATGTGACGTCAAAGTTCAGAATGCTCTGAAGCGTCCTGCCAGTCTAAAGGGTTACAACTAGACCTAGTAAGAACGTGGACTTACGGAAGAGGAATGAGACAAAGGATGGGGTGTGAAGGCTACAAACTGGCTCATGTGTACTCAAGACCAGAGAAAGGGCGCTGCCCCAACGACCACTCTATACCTACCGAGCCATGGATCCTCACGCTAGCCCAGGAAGGAGGGTCTGTGGTTATCATTTATTTAACAACAAGCAGATGCCTCCTCCATTACTGGTGACCAGAAGGAACAATCCACTTAAGCATAAGGCTCCCTTTGACACAGTGACTACAGAGGAACTCATACCTCTCCAAATTCATAGAAGGTTCCATCTTCTTTCTTTATGTTGTGTTCTTTCAGCCACACAATAGCATCTGAATAGTTCATCCGTTTGAAAGGCCGTTTAGGGGGCTTAAAATTCTAGAGTAGAAAGGAAAAACACGGTGTATATAAAGAAACATTCACATGAACATTTCAAGAGACGCTATTTACCATTATCATTGGATATGACTGGATGAACGGCAAGACTTGCTCCTTCACGCTGGCAGCAGAGGGGCAGAAGCATAAAGGGAGGGGTGCGTGTGGACGTGTTCACCTTTGTGTTTTGATGATAACCACTGATATGTGCACATCTCTTGGTACTATAGGAATGCACTATTAAGTAATTAATTCAATGGAAACATACCTCCTTGCTAATACTTTCAATAGTTTGGATCAGATGACGAATCCTCTTAGAAGCATTATACTTTGGGTACTCTGCTGATTTAGGTCTCATTTTTAATTGACCATTACGGGAATTTTAATCCTAACTCTGCCAGTATCTTTGTCTAAAGGCCTGTTGCCATTTTTGTCGCCAAGAAAGGCTGGATTACATTCTTTTCCCTTCCAGATTGAGCTGGTATAGTGCATTCTTGTTTATCAAAATACTCATAGCTTTGGGATTTTGAAACGGTAAATATTCATGTGTGAAACAGTGTGATACATAACTGTATGATCTTAATTATATAAAAATGGATGCTTAGTTGTGAAAATACACATGTAAGAGCTAGAAGGACTCAGCAAATGGAAAACTGCTTGTGATTATGAATGACTTTGTTTTCTGCATCTTGTGTTTTTTAGGTTTCCTATTATGCACATGTTAACTTTTCAGAAATAAATACTACTTTTAAACCTTAAAAAAAGTTCTTTCAGACTTAAAAGCAATTCGGGGAATTCTCTGACAGTCCAGTAGTTAGGACTCTGCATTTCCACTGCCAAGGGTCCAGCTGGAACTAAGATCCCACAAGCCATGCAGTGCAGTTAAAAAAACCCCCCCAAACACTGGACATCCCTAAAAGTGGAAAAGACATACCAACTTTCTATGTACGTTAAAATACTATGAAATTATTGGCAATAACTAGTATCCAATTTTAGTCTTCAAAATATCAGTCTGGAAATGGGTGAATGGGATCAAAAAGTACAAACTTCTAGATATAGAAGAAGTTAAGTCCCAACAGGATGTAATGTATGACATGGTGACTATAATCAGTAATAGTACTATACATTTGAAAGCTGATAAGAAAGGATCTTGAAAGGTTGCATCACAAGAAAAAAGCTGTAACTAGGTGTGGTGTGGGGGTCATTTTCTGTTTTTAAATTTTATCTGTTTCTGGCTGCGCTGGGTCTGCGTTGTTGGGGGCACAGGCTCTGGCGCATGTGGGCTTCAGCAGTTGTGGTGCGCAGGCCCCATAGTCCCGAGGCATATGGAATCCTCCCAGACTGGAGATTGAACCCATGTCCCCTACACGGACAGGTGGGCCCTCAACCACTGGGCCACCAGGCAAGTCCCATTTTCTAATATATATATCTCAAAGCATTACGGTGTACACCTAAATGTAATATGTTATATATCAACTATAATTCAAAAAAAGTCCTTTATTTCAAAGCTCACCAAACTATTAAATCTATAAAAATCAAGAATGTGGACTTTGCTGCCTTCTAAAACAGAATCCTCATTTCATGTTCCCATACAACGGCAGACCTACCGGGTTGAGGTCACGCACTATGCTTCCTGCAGGTGATTTTAAGACTCTATCGACCACGTCACACACCAAGTCCTCCAATCGGCTCAGGAGCTCCTCAAAGGTCAGGAAAGGACACTCAGCTTCCACATGAGTGTATCTGAGGAACATGACACTAGCTCAGAGCCGCCCTTCTTTCCACTAAGTTTCTCTCAAGCAAGGATCTTAACACTGGGAAACTGTCCAGAAAAGTAAAACTCCCACCCTGCTAATCATCTCCCAACTCTGCGAATTCATTTTAGCCCACCTGACTTCCTTCCCCCCTTCTTAATGATTTCTTGCTTATTCCCCAACACATAAAGGATCAAGAGAGAGCAAATCAACACACCTTCGTGAGCTATGACCTAAGAGGCAGAACTTCTTGGACAGTTTCCGTGAACTCATTCAAGTGACCTTTATAAAACCTCTTAATACTTCAGAGGTTTTACATAGACTGTCATTTACCTCCATGAAGACTGCATCTCTGAACAGGTTTTCTCAGAAAACAAAATTTAAAACAAAAGCAAAAAGACAACCGCATACTCAGCCAGGTGCCTTCGTGTTCTGGACTGTTCCGCCCTGTATGACTGTGCAATACAGAAAACATCTCCCAGAGCAGGAATGCAGGTCTCCAGGTAGAGCTGAGAGGACTGGGTCAGATATGCCTCTTCCCCAAAATAGTCCAGCTTGAAGAGTGTGGAACCGCCTTCCACCTGTGTTTGCACTAATGTTGGAGGAGTGATCTGTTTGCAAACAAACAGGAAAGGGGTAAACAGAGGCCTTCCGTGAGCACCGGGGCTCAAGCTCAACCACGCCAAAAGGTGTTGTCTGCAGAGGGTGACCCACGCACACTCACTTCGTGGTACCCCCTGTCGAAGAAGTGGTCTCTGAAGCACTTGGTGACCACAGAGCGTGCCTTTAGGATCTTGGACATGTTCTCCCCCCGGATCATCATGTGTCTGTTGTTGAGCTGGACGTCAACATCGGACTCCTCATTGATCAAGTTGTCAGCGCCTCCGGCAGGGGCCAACCCGATCAGTTCCCAGAAGTCACAGCTCAGCTCGTGGCCCCCCGGAGCCTACAGTTTTAAATGGGGTGGGGAGGAAGAGAGGGAGGGAGAAGGAAACAGAGAATGTGCAGGGTGAGGGATTCTCACTTCTGCCAACAGTTTCAGTAAGCTCATATTTCTAAGAACTATCTTTATTAGCCTACCCTTCTAAACACAAAGACTCAGGAATTAAATTTCATATTGACAGATTTAACACTTCTTTCAGAGTAAATCACTCACACAAACACACTTTTTTAAAAACCAGAAAAGCACAAACTACAAAATAAACTATAATCTCACGACCTGGAGTAACCACTAACTACTGTCAACATTTTAGTATACCTTTCCAGCCTCTGACCAGTAATTCCAAAGTAACGTTAACACCCACATTGAAAAATTCCTCAAGTACCAAGGTTTTACTAAAAGAGGTTTCTCTCTGAAACATATAGATAGTAAAAATTCCAATCCTCCCTAATAATCCCATTGAAATCCTTGTATTTAGAAGCCACATCATATGGAATATATAGCCATCTTGGTGCCCAACACTGCCAGCAAGAAACACCATGACAGCCACTCCTATTTGCAATCACATTACTTACAAGGAAAATCCAGTGAACTTGAACCAGATATTCACTCTTAATATAGGTTCTTTACATGGACTCTGGGAGACTTTTTTATCATTATTTCTAGTCTAGTCTCTCAGGAGGACCCCATGGGCTCCCTCTGCTGGTTAATATGTCATGTTTGTTTTCTTTCCCAAGGAACAAATAAAACCACAGTTGTTACTTGAACAATAATTACCAACAAGTAGCTCTTAACTGGTACTAGGTGACATGTGTGTTGGCTGGGGAACAAACAACTCTCTGTCAGAGTTATATTTAAATTTTTAAGAGCCTTTCAAATTCTATTTTAAAAGTTTCAAATTTAGATTACTCTTCTTTCCTGAAACACTTCCAGTAGATGAAATTTTTATTTTCACCTAGCTAAAAAATTATTCACATATAAACAGCAAGTTATTTTCGCCCTTGAAGATTATTCAGTAATTCTTTAGGCTGGAAATCACTGAGACTGCTACATTATACAAGCTGCACAGCACATGTATTTCACTGGAAAAGGAAAAGGCACTCTAGAGTTAGCAAGTGCATCACATCTTTATATTTATAATGCTAAATTCCAAAAAAACCAAAGACACTGGAAAGCAACAAGCATACCACTCTTCTCTGAGAAACTCAACACACTCACCTGCTTGCCCTTTGGGGTAAGATTCAGCATTCCATACACTGCGACACTGCTCTCAGTGGACAAGACAACACCACTGTAACACTGACACTACAAAAAGATCAAGTTCAAATTTAGCTGCTCACGTTTATAGTAACACATTCTACCAAATAGAAAGCAAAGGGGATCATTTATAAACAAGTTATCTAGTCCAAAACTAGCAAAATAAAAGACGCCATTCAATCAAATGTTTATATAGATACACACATATATGTGCATACATCCTTTACACACACTTACACACATATGCATAAATAACACTAGTCCACATCTCTTTAAAAAAGTGAAGGAGAACTTTATAAAGGAGGGATCAGGCCATCAATACCTGAGTCCATTAATTATAGGGATGACTGGAATTATGTGATTCATGATGTAATGTAATTGAAAGACAGCTATGTCCATGAAGTAGTTATATCAAGAAGACCTGAATCTGATCAGACCTAACCTCCAGCTTGTAAGAAACACAAAGGATAGAGGAACATTTACACCTTATGATGCAATCGACCAAATCCAGAATGTGGCAAGTCCCACAGGACAAATGACCCAATTTTTTTCAATAAATGGCATGGGGGAATGTGACAGAAGAGAATGAAAGGGGAGAACTGCTATAGATTGAGAGAGATTTCAGAGACATTATCAACTGTAGGCAACATGCATGTCTTGTTCGGATCCTCATTCAAACCAACCAACTGTAAAAAGACATTATGCATCAACTGGGAGAATCTGACTGGATATTTTTTGGGGGAGGGGGTGTGATAATGATAATGTGGTTATATGAAAAATATTTCTTCCTGGGGAAGCATATGCAAGTATGTTTACATGAAATATGATGTCTGGGAGATAAAAGGGGGGAGGAGTAAACCAGAATTGGGAATATATTAGCTATTAGTTGCTAAAGACTTAATGTGTATCCCTCCCAAAACTCTATGATTAAACCCTTTCCTGCTGTTAGGTGGGGCCTTTGAGAGGTAGTGAGGATTACATCAGAGCATGAGGGTGCAGCCCTCATGAATGGGACTAATGCTTTCCCTTCTCTGCAAGGATGAGGATATAACAGGAAGTGGGCAGTCTGCAACCTGGAAGAGGGCCCTCACCAGAACCTGACCATGCTGGCACCCTGATCTGGACTTCCAACCACTAGAACTGTGAGACATAAACTTCCATTGTTACCATGCCCCCCAGTTCATGGCACTTGGTCACAGCCTAACTGAGACATTACTGAGGCTGAGAGAGGAGCCTGGGAGGTTTCCTCCTGCTGTTCCATTTTTGAGATGTTTGACATTTCCCACAATAACAGTTTAAAATAAGTATCCAGATGCCCAAATTCCCTAAACTAACAATAAAGGAACCTACTGAAAAAAATCAAATATTCAGCCACTGTAAATATGAGAAAATGTTTACCAAATCATCTGACAAGACACACTGGAGAAAACCCGTACCGTCCCGCAACACTAGAAACATTAAATTCTTTCCTAAAAATGAGAAAGAGGAAGTTCAGTCGGACTGTTCTTGAGGCACCTGGAAGCACTTTCTCATAATTGAATCTTACATGAAGGAACTGCCAAGTCTAAATGTGGAAAATCCAAACCTCCTACAGGGCCTCGTTCCTTTGAAGCAGTGTCACTACTCAGTTATCTGCAAAGTATTTTACCTTCTTTACTGATTTTCAAACCCCACGTGAGCCTCCTGACCCACAGCATCATGGGAAAGCAAGACATAAACATGTGAGTCGAGGGGCTGAGCCTCCTTCACGCCCGCGTCCCCTGCAACGCCCAGCACAGTGCGTTCCATGGAGGGTGATACACACTGCCACACACAAGCACGCGTGGCTTTCTATGCCCCGTTTCTTTTTTTATGAAGCATTTGATAACCACTTACAATAAAAAACATGCAAAAAAATAATAATAAAAAGAGAAAGCAAAACATCAGGACCAAGTACAAATATGCTAGTCATAAAAATCAACATCACTGACACCAGTCAAGTTTCAGGTTTGGCTCTGCACTTTCTGTAACGTACTCCCTGCTTTTCATTACATAATTCAATTCAGTTCCACAAATATTTCCTGGATACCTTCTGATCATTGTTTCCAGGATCAAAGGATACAACTGACTGTATCCATTACAGTTAAGCAACATTTAAATAATTTTTAAACTTTCAATAGCTGTATTAAAAGAATGAACCTAGGATATAAATCACTGTTTCCTTTAAAGAGCTAGCATTCCCAAACAAAAATACCCTCCAATAAATGCTTTTCCTCATGTTCTTCATTTAAGACTAGGGATATTGAAAATTAAAGAGAGAAAAGTACAACCATGCCAGTTACCTTGCCGACGCAGCCTGTGGACCCAGCCAAATACCTTTACCCTTTGGCCTCTATATCCTTCTAGTTCCCGAATCTTCACCTGTCAAGTTAAAGTAAATAACGTTTGACCCAGCATGTCATTCATCACATACCAACTTTGTCATGAATATCGGATGGATGGCAGTAAAGTGTTTAAAAAAAAACCACAAATGATGTAAAACTGCAGATACCCACTTGACTGCATGTTACGGTCAAAAAATCTCACCATGCCAGAGGAGTTAAAAAAAAAAAAAATCCAAGTCTTCTTTGTCTTAGTGCAAAACTGACCGAGAGAAACACCGAGAACTTCAGATATTGCTCAAGTCAGTGAATCAATGAAATTCATGGCAGCAACAACCCTAGCCCACACAGAGCCCTTTCCCTGACCTCACGAACCCTCCTGGCACCCTGGGAGGTGGAAGTGAGCCAAGGAAGCCAGCCAAGGCTGGCTTTTCATCTGGGGCATGGAGGAGAGAGGGGAGGGGAGGAAGAGGCTTGCAGGTGTGGCCAAGCACACAGCTCCCTCACTAAGGAAGCAAGAAAAACACGACAGCTCAGCAGCAATAATAACTATTCTCTTCTAGAAAGAACACAGATATAATCCAATTAAAAAAAAACAAACACAAAAACCCTTTTCTCTTAAGAGGTCATGAGAATCATGGATTTCAACCTCCTCCTTTTACCATGAGTAAACCGCCCCAGGGAGGGTAACCACAGCCCACCGGGCCTGGATGCCACAGTTGGCAGCTTTCAGTGGGAAAAGAATGTGTTCAACACGGCGATTACTCAATTTTATTAAAAAGTGAGCCCCATTCTCCAGCACAACCGCTCTCTCTCCCTTCTGAAAGAAAAGACAAACACTGCAAGGGCCAGAGCAGGCAGACGCTCCTGAGACACAGGGGTGCCCATGGGTCCACCATACATGAAACAACATGCATCACACTCACACATTTCGGCTCTGGAAGACTTGGGTCATTTTTAATGGTGATCTTCTTTGCTTCTTCCAGGTTCTTCTCTCTTCGCAAACTGTCTTCTGCCTAGTTTGAGTAAGCGGGCAATCAGTCAGCATGGCATCCGGGTCCTAAACCGAAAGGCGCTCACAGCACTCGCTGCTCACCTCCTTCTTCTCCCGGGACTCACTCTTCATCTGCTCCCGGTGCCACAGCTTCCTGATGTTCTTCATCTGGGACTTAGAGATAACATCCCACCTCTGGAGGGGCAAACAGGCAGGCAGGGCTTTCAAGACCACTGTATTCTAGTGACAATTTCCTCACAAAATCAGGTTCTGTAACATTTCGGGTTCACCTTACCTCATTTTCTTTTTGTGAATCCACGTAAATGGTAGGAAAGGGTTCTCTTCCAACTGTCATCAAAGCCTTGGGGAAGGGAGAAAAAGGACATTCCTTTAACATCATGCAATGTTTAAAATTAAGGTAACTCCTGACTCACGAGGTAACTTCTGACTCACGAGGTAACTTCAATCACCTAGAACACTATCAAGAGCCCAGAAGAAAACATAAAGACCCCACCAGCCAAAGGTCAATGCTGATAGAAGGCACGGCTGAACGTACTAAGACGACTGTGCTTAAAGTAGACCATCCATATAGTTTCCCGTACTACTGAACAAGAAGCAGATTTTAAGAGGCCACAGGGACCAGCAGGAAGCATGCTGACAACAACAGAAGGCACAGCCGATAGCGAAGGCCAACTGCAGGGCGCCTGCGGGTGGCTAACCCTCACCAAGGATCCGGGCAAGTCATTTCAGAAACTCTCAACAGTGGTCAGTTACACAGAAGCCTGTCTCGTTTAACTGGAAAAATTCCCGTGTGTAGAATATATACCCCCTTTTCACCAATACTGGAACATATCTGATGTCACCATATCATTTGATATCTTACAGTTTATATTCTTTTCTAAAAACATAGATGGTTGGAAGTATATAAAAAATAAGTATTTTATTAATTGCTTCAAATATTCCTTCAAATCTGCTCCTAAGTTATCATCAATCAAGAAACATAATGAGCTGTTGTCTCTAGTGTAACATCTGAAGCTTATGAAAACCAACCTTTTCTAAAGATTTCCAAACCTGAAAAATACTTTTCATCTTGATTACACACCAGTCTCAACTCAATTACTGCTAGAGAGGAGGAGGGAACCTGGATCTTTTGGAAACATCCAACAGAGTTCAGCTTCTCCTTTTAACAATCAGACTTTGTAAGAAGTTTGTAAATCACTAAGAATTGATTTACTACCTGACAGTCTGTACTGACTCCTTCTTTGCTATTACACATTGAAAGAACCCAAGTGTAATTCTCCAAATCAGATTGGCACACTTTTTGCTAACAGCATACATTCATCTAAACACTACTGTCAGTTTTGGGGAATCACCCCAACAATCTGAAATGAGAGTCTTTCCGCTAAGGTTTAAAAAGTAAGATCCGTGTTTGACACACCAAAACATAATCAGAGTATAAGCTAAAAGAGGAGCCAGTGGTCCCAGGACAGGAACACTTGCTAATGACCTAAACAAATCCTGCAACACAGCTCCCAAGAAGGGGGACTGCCCAGCCCCGGACACACAGCAAAGTCAGGGCAGTGCTCTTCCTGGGGCCGCCCGGGGACAGGGCGCCACCCAGCTTCCTTCTGTGGCAGCTGTAGCCATTCCAGTCAACAGGCAAGGCCACAGATACCTTCAGAGGGAAGGCTTCCCGGCCCTACACCGTAACCTGATACAATCAGATACCCACGTCCTGAGTCCAAGCTCTTGAAGAACTCATCTGAACTGTATTTGGCCTTTCATGTAAGCTGGCTTAGACAGAACATGCTAAACTTACTAATGGATTCTACTACCCTGGGAAATAATAATTTACTGTTAAATTAGCATCCTGGCTTTAGGCTCCAGACTCATGAAATCCTGAGAGTCTGTTCTGAGGAATGGGTCCCTTTCTTGGTACTGATATAAATCAGGTTTCTGAATCTCAAGGTTCAAGATCACACCTGGATTCAAGGGGTAAATTCACCAAGAGAACTCTGAGGAGTCAGTTTGGAAGAAATGTTTGCAATAAACTCAGAATGACTATGGGAAGATAATTTTTATTTCTACAAGAACTAAAAAACCGACCATTTGACTCATTGGAGAGAAAAATTCCACGATGCAATGCTGATGGTAAGGAAAAAAGAAGACACCTATTTAAAATGTTCAAGTGGAATTCCCAGTGGTTAGGGACTACAAATCCAGTGCTTTCACTGCCAAGGGCCTGGGTTCAATCACTGGCCGGAGAACTAAAGATCCCACAGGCCTCAAGGCGTGTGTTCCCCTCCCCACCAAAAGAAAGTTCAATAACTTTAGGTATACAGCATCTAATATCCTTAAAGCTACATACCTGTATACACCTCTTACTTGCCCTTTTCTGAAAGTTCTCTTCAAATCTAGTGCTTGAGATAAAACTCCTGACAAGTCATATAATAACTGGCAGGAATCATTAATAAACACAAAGTCGTTTTCCTAATGAGGAAGAGGCACTACCTTAAGGCCTGTTTTAAAAGGTTTCTCCTTGGTTCCGTCACCAGTAGCATCATTTCCCTCTCGGTCGGAGACATACAGCTCTGCTGTTTTACAAAAAGAGAGTAAGTTACTCATTTGGTCAATAATTACCAGTCACCTCATACTGCAGCTACTTTATCCATTCTTTATCTTTGTAAACAGAACATGTATCTGATCAGTGAAAATTATCAAATTCCAGGGACTTCCCTGCTGGCCCAGTGGTTACTACCGCACGCTGCCAATGCAGGGGGTGTGGGTTCCATCCCGGGATCCCTGAGACCCCACATGCCATGCAGCGCAGCCAAAAGATTCTTAAATTTTAATTTAAAAAATGTATCAAAGTCCAAAAGAAATTGTATCAGTTTATTTTCCCACTCCCCTATCCAAGGACATCCATCCCGTAAGAAGAGACTGATCAAATTTAGCTTTTCAAAATGAACTTTGATCATTTTCCTTTGTGATACTGCTTCTATTAATATCCACTTGAATCCCAACAACAAAGCAAGGGCTTTGTAGTTAGCCAGACTGGCCAACTGGGATGTTGCACTTTAACAGCCAGGGACCCTGGAAAATTCACTTAACCTTTCTGGGTTTGTTTCTGAGCTTGTAAAATGAGGGAAACGATACACATATTTTGAAGTACTGAGGATGAAATATATAAATCGGATATCCTGGTGCCAGAGCACAGAAAATCAAAATAAACATCAGTTTCCTCTGGCCTTTAAAGGAAACCAAAAGCTCCGAAGGTAAACGAATTGCACAAGAGCCTCACAACTGTGAGCGGGCAGAGACATAATTTCGGATCTCCTACATCTTCTTTTCCTATTGCATCAGATGGCCTCCCAGGCCCTCTCCACATAAACGAGGGTGAGCGAGAGGGGCATTCTCGAACACCCCCTCCTGACGGTCACTCGGAAGACGCAGACACTCGGGGGCGGCCCTGAGGTCTGGCCGGGCCTCTTTCAGCGGAATCACTGGCTTTCCCTCAGAGGGGCCGCGCGGGAAGCCTACGGCGCCCGGGAGAAGCCCGGCCCGGCCCGCCCTCCCCGCCTGCCTCCATCCGCGCGCGCGGCGCCACTCACACCCCCCGGGCCCCCGGCCTCACTTACCGAGTACCATCCCTGCGGGCGCCCTGGCCACCTTCAAGGACATCGCCGCCAACACGCAGCCGCCTGGTCTCCCCTCGGCGTGCGCCGGCGACCTCCTCAACTCAGAGGTTGCATCATCGAACGTCGCGCAGAAGCCGTCGCCGTAAGTCACCCCAGCGTCGCGGCTCCATTGGTTACGGGAGGTTACCGAGCTAGGGCGAGCGGCGCCGCAGCCGCCATCTTCGGTTCAGGCAGAGGCAACTTCCGGTTCCGGCGGCGCCTCCGGGCTACCCCTTCCCTTCCGACTGCGCTGGGGACTCGAGGGGGCACTTTATCGGCCGGGGTCTCCTTGGCCACGAGACACCCCGGGCACCGCTGTAGTCCCAATCCCTCCGGCCTCCATCTACCCAACTTCCCTGCTGAGTCTCCCAGTTCCGCCCAACCCCTACTCCTGCTGTGGGCGCGGTCAGGCCCTCCCGGAAACTAGGCCCAGGGGTTCGTCCCAGATCCTCAGATCCTGGGATGCTTGTGGAATTTATGTCGTCATCAAATTAATGACGATTCATGTCGTCACCAGCCGCGAGCTGGGGCGGTGGTGGGGGTGAGGGGCAGAGCTAGGGGTAGTCCTGTCTCCCATACATTGCCTACCTCCTGGAATATAAAGACGCTTTAACTTTCTAACTTCAATGAATTTAGGAATGTAATTCTGTGTCACTTGGATTATAGTGTGTATTTTTTTTTAATTATCTTAAATTGGAGGATAATTGCTTTACAACGTTGTGTTGGTTTCTGCCTTACATCAGTCTGAATCAGCCGTGAGTATACATATCTCCTCCCTATATAGGGTGTATTTCCATTTTTAACTTACAAAGATCAGTATTAGGAAGGTCATAATAACTCTGTGTAAAGAAATGAGGCTTCAGATCTGGAGTTCTGATTCTGCCTTTTGCTGTGACTAGAGCTGAATGCGCTAACCTGAGCTTCAATTTCCCTGTGTGTGAAGGATGGTTAAGTTCAGGGCCCAGCAGTCACAGATAGTAAATAAAGGGTGGCTAAGGTCATCATTCTCAACTTACTGGAATACCAGAGTTTGTCTCTGAGTGAAAGGAAAACATACTTTGGTTATGAAAATAAGTCCACTGGTAGGCTCAGAGTCTGTCAAACATGTAAACCAGATAGATACTTTTATTTAAGAATATTTCACCCAGTTTCATGGACTTTCCCCTTTCCCGCTTCGTTGAATGCTTTTTTTGCCCATGCATCAGTTACCTACAGCTGAAAGGCAAATGTATTATCTTGGGTAGCTTCTGAGCACTGGGGAGTCGATGGGGGGCGGGTGGTATTCTGACACAAGGTCTCTTCTGAATCAAGATGCGGGGCAGGGGCTGCAGTTACCTGGTGGCTTGAGTAGGTGAGGATCTGGCTCTTGGCAGGAGGTCTCATGTCACGTGGGCTCCCAATGACAGGACAGCTGACTCCCCAGAAGTAAGTGGGGGGAGGGGGAGAGGCAGCGAGACTGTATTGGTTACCGATACTCTATACTGTATAATAAATGACCTCCGAACTGCACCAACAGTCGTGTTCTCGCACTGCCTGTGGACCAGGAGTCTGGCAAGGCCTAGCTTGGGTCTCAGGCACTGGGTCTCTAAAAAGGCTGCCATCACGGTGCCACTTGGAGCTCATTTAAGATTGTGTTTTAGCAGTTTGTGATGAAAGCTGTTGTGAGAGAACACAAAAGCACAGAACCCTTTGCAGATTTGTGTGCCATCTTCGTACGGGGGCCATGGTAATCTCTGTACCATTCCAGTTTTAGGAGACGTGCTGCCGAAGTGAGCAGAGGCTAAGATTCTTAGGTCTCACCTGGGTGATGCTCTTCCCACACACCCCTGTGGGTGTCAGAAGGACTCAGATCCTCAGGCTGTTGGACTCAGGGCCTCAGTTCTTCGCTGGCTCTTGGCTGGAGGTCTCTCTCAGCTCCTTGCCATGAGGGCTTTTCCAGTGGGCAGTGTCCTTCATCAGAGCAAGTGAGCAAGAAGGCAAGAGAGTGTGCAAGCAAGATGGAAGCCGCGGTCCTTGGTTTCCCATCCCTTTTTCCGTTTTCTGTTCCTTAGATTCGAGTCACTTGGTCCAGCCTATGCTCCAGGAAAGGGTTTTACACCAGGGCATGAATCCCAGGAGGTGGCAGGGGTCCCAGGGCCATCTTAGGAAGCTACATGCCACAGCAACTAAAACCCAAACTGTACTGCCTTTTCATAACCCACCCAACGAATGACATTTCATCATTTCTGCTGTATTTTAACTGGTTGCACAGACCAGCCCTACTACAATACGGGAGAGGACTACACAGGGGGTGAATTCCAGGGGGCGGAGGTCAGTGGGGGCCATCTTAGAGGCCGCTACCACAGCCCAACCAGTGAATTTCTCCTCTTCATCCTGCATGGAGACCCCAGAGGCTGGCTCATGTAGACGCAGCAATAGGCTCTCTGTCTCTTGGGCGGGTGCAGCCAGTGGGGAGCACCAGCAGGGATGGGGTGAGCTCGGGTACTTCCTGCTCCAGCTCCCTCATGGCAGGCTGGCTGCACCTTCACTCAAAGGCCACAGTCATCTGAACTGTCCTTCATGAGTTGAGCGTCATCTGATTCATAAAATTGGATGCACACAGAGACATCCCACTGTAAAAAGGAAAGCAAGTGTGTCTACAGGAATGGGCCTGAAGATTCCCAGAGCACCTCCTTTGATGGCACTGTTGCCTTGTCCCCAAGCCACACCCACAGACTCAGGAGATTTCCCCACATCCAGTCTCTGACACCTGTGTAATAGGTTAGCACAAGCCAGTGTTACAGCCTTGCTCAGGTGTGGCTCTGAAAAAGTAGGGGGATGTCCCGGGCCATCTGATGGTTAAGACTGTGCTTCCAACGCAAGGGGCACAAATTTGATTCCTGGTCAGGGACACGCCACATGCTGTGTAGTGTAGCCAATAAATAGATAAACTAAAAATAAAAAATAAAGATATAGTTTTAAAAAAGACAGTTTCAAAGGGGAATCGGCTTAGATGCTAGAACTCTCAGTGGATGACTGGCTTACCACTTAGGTGAGTAGAGGTGGCACGAGGGACAGATGGATACGGGCTAAAGGGTTGACCAGTTAATCAGGGGCTTAGAAGGAACAAGATTAGAGGTGTTAGGTATGGTGGTCTGGTGGTCTGGTGGGGAAGTATGTGGATGAATTTTTCTGAATGGGCACATGTGAAGATATCTTGCTCCATGTAAACACCCCTTAGAAAGCATTCGGTAGAGAGGAGGTCTTTGTAAACTGTGGATGTTGGCCTTCCCTCCCCACCCTCCAAGTCCCCCAGTGCTTGTTCAAAGAAACCATACACAAAGTGGCTACAGTAACAGGCTGGAGGCTATGAGTGGGTTCAGCTACATAGACTGTCTTTCATTAAGGCTGAACTGGCTAGCTGATTACCACTACAGAGGACCCAGCTGACAACAACAGAAACTGACTTTGAAGACTTTGAAGTTCAGTTCAGTCACTCAGTCGTGTACGACTCTGCGACCCTATGGACTGCAGCATGCCAGGTTTCCCTGTCCATCACCAACTCCTGGAGCCTACTCAAACTCATGTACATCAAGCCGGTGATGCCATCCAACCATCTCATCCTCTGTTGGTCCCTTCTCCTCCCACCTTCAGTCTTTCCCAGCATCAGGGTCTTTTCAAATGAGTCAGTTCTTCGCATCAGGTGGCCAAAGTATTGGAGCTTCATCTTTAGCATTAGTCCTTCCAATGAATATTTAGGCTTGATCATCTTTAGGATGGACTGGTTGGATCTCCTTGCAGTCCAAGGGACTCTGAAGAGTCTTCTCCAACACCACAGTTCAAAAGCATCATTTGAAGACTTGATGGGACACTAATCTTTGAGGTGACCCTGTGTCCAGCTGGTGGCTGGTGAATTGCATTTAACCCCCAGGTGGGTGAAGTTGCTTAGTCGTGTCCGACTCTCTGTGACCACATGGACTGTAGCCTACCAGGCTCCTCCTGGAAATTTTCCATAGAATTCCATGGAATTTTCCAGGCCAGAATACTGGAGTGGGTTGCCATTTCCATCTCCAGAGGATCTTCCTGACCCAGGGATCAAACCCAGGTCTCTGCATTGCAGGCAGACACTTTACCATCTGAGCCACCAGGGAAGCCCTTTAATCCCCGAAGGAGGCAGCAACATGCCCATCAACTATAGCGTCACCGTCCAGAGAGGATGTACCCTCCCTGTCTACAGCGCCAGCATCTGTGGACTTAGGGAATGCCCTGGCCATCTCCACAGTACATAGCACCTTCTCTAACCAGGGAACACACTCAACGAAGAGTGAGAAGGGGCTCATACCTTCTGGGGGCACTTAGCACAGAGCCTTACACTCCGTAAGCACTTGATAACTAGCTGTTGGACAGACTGGTTTAGTCCAGTTTCTCCGGAAGCAGAACTTCCCTTTACAGCATCGCTGAAAGGAGTCACAAGAAGAAACTAAAGTTTGTCGGTGCTCACGAGGGAATGAAGGAATTCAATGAGTGGCCTTGCTCTTCTCTCTTCCTCCGACTCTGGCCAGCTGGGGGTGACCTTTTCTGGTGGTCCTGGCTGTTCCGTCCCCGCGCCCGCTCAGGGTTATTCTGATGCCTGTGTGGAAATCCCCTTCGCTCCATTAGGAGCCAAAGGGGAGTCAGCGTTCTGACACTATAAGGGCCCCCGCGGGCCACCGTAGCCGGTTGCCGGCTTGCGCTCCGGGCTCGTGACGACGGAGCCGCCATGTTGTCTCCGGGCACTTCCGCGTTCCGGCCCCTGGGCGCGCTTTTCCTGGTGCGCGCGCACCTCCCAGGTGCGGCGGGAAGGCGGGGCCTCACGCTGTGCTCGCGGCGACGCTCTAGGCGCGTCGTCTCTTTATTTGCTCCTCGAAACAGTTCCGTAGAAAGAAGAGGCGAAAATCCCTGTGAGCGTGTGTCGGGCACGTTTCCCCGTCCCTGGGCCGGGAACAGGGTTGGAGGGGGGTGGAGGAGGGGAGGTTGTTTGCTTAA